AGGAGCTAAAACATGGACAGTTAATTCATGACAAGTGCTCAGAATACAGCCTAGGACAAAGTAAGCTCAATATGATTACTATTCATATTAGTATGTTTACAGGGAAAAAAGCAGTATCACTTGCCAGATTAAAATAAATATTTGACAACTGAAAGAAAAAATGTCACTGATGTAACAGCTAAAAAAACACACTTTTGGAGACACAGGCTGAGCCTCTGCTTTGCCACGACCCAGATGTGTAAAACCCCCCATTCTCCCGTCTTTTAAATGAGGATGTCGGACCAGACCCTCTCTTAAGATGCCATCCACCTTCCAGCTCTGAATCTCAGACTCGCAATCCATGGATGACCCTACCTTAAAAGAAATAAAATTGCAAACCCTGAGTCTACACAATGAGAGCAAAAGGGAAGAGGTGAGGGGCGGGGAGAGAAGGTTATTCGCATTCCAAAAGGATTTGCTCTTACAAAAGGATTAACAGCAGAGTTGCCTTAAATAGCAGCTTAAGCCTTGTTTATGCATTACTAAAGGCTTGATGGAGAGGTGGAGGGGCCCAGGTACTGGGAACAAAGCATGATGAGGCCCAACCAGAAAGAAAAAAGCATGCCTGTTTTCTTTAAAATTACAGCGGATTGCACGTCAATTGGGCGAAAAAGGAAAAAATAAAATCTTTAAAAAAAAAAAAAAATAAAATTACAGCGGATGCACGTCAATTGCTCAAAGGACGTGCACCTGTATCCACGAGCCAGTTTAGAGCACTAATCCAGCCTGTTTATTTCTAAACCCCTACTATAAGAACATGGATAATTTATTAAATGTAAGCGCTTGTAATGTACCAGGCACTGTTGAGCACGTGACGTGCGTTATTTCATCTAATCGTCACGGCAACCCAACGAGGTAGGTGCGATTGTTACCATCATTTTATAGATGAGGAAACTGAGGCTAGAAGAGGGGATGTGATTCACCCAGAGCAAGTGGAAGGCAGAGTGAGTATTCAAGCCAAAGTACAGGAACCAGGCACTGAGGTTAGATTATAAAAGGTAGGCTTCTTGCCTCAAGGAGGACACTGAAGATCAGCCAGGGAGGTTGACAGATTCAGAGGAGGATTAAACACCCTGAGAGGGACTTTTATGGGAGCAGAGGAAGGGGATACCAAGGGTCCAGGGTGTGCCCAAAGTCAGGTATGACCTCAACCAACCCCCAGTTGTTAGCCCACACCCCAGCACCCCTAAACACTCAATGCCCAGATTCCTCTCCTCCGTCCCTCATGCCAAGGATACTCTCATCGGAACCTCTCTGAGCAGAGACCAGTGTCTCCTGGGGGACTCGACTCCCAAAGGTTGGGGGGGGGGGGCTGGGAGGCGAAGAGAGAAAGAGGAACTCTGTTGCAGGATCTCTCCCAGTGCTGACACTGCCTTCCTGGGCTGCCTGAGGTTCTCACTGCCTCATTTTCCTGCCTTGAAAAATGGGGATATTAGCTACCCCCCACCTCCCTTGGCAGAGAAGAGCCGGCGATTAATCAGGAAACATCTGTGAAGCACTCCCAGCCTTCGGAGAGGGCACCTTGGGAGAGGAGCTGTGAAAACACGGGGAGAAGCTGTTAGCAGCAGCAGCAGCATCATTTCCATCAGGACATCTCCCGCCTAAAGACCAGCAGTGGCTCCCCACTGCCCAGGGGAGAAAAGGCACTTAGCAGCCTGGCAGGCAAGGCCACTGGTGCAGCTGCTGCCCTTCTCCTTGCCTCTCTTTCTCATCCCCACACGGGAGAGCCATGCCACCTTCACATTGTCACACGGTCACATCGTCCCCATTCTCCAGGGCCAAGTACCTTCCCTAACATCCAAGCTGGGGGCTCAACATCCAGCGCACCTGTTTTTGTTGCTGACCCCACTATTTCTCTTCTCCAAGGGGTTCTGATAGTACAGGTACACAAAATAGGGCTCTTGCACAAGCTTCTCTCTTCCCAGAGCTATAAAATGAAGATGCTACACAGCCATGAGCCAGTCTCTTCTCTCTCCAACTAGATAATAAGCAGAGTGAGGACCAGATGGAGTTCCAATGAAGTCCAAAATTCATACATGGAGCCTCGGGAAGCTGTCAACAGCACAGGCAAAGAATCTGGGTTCAGACAGACCAGAGCTCCCCATTCGGCCTCTCACCCCCTCCCTGAGCCTTCTCTGCAAAACGGAGAGCCCCCCATAATAGGCACTGTCAAAGGGACAACAGGTGTGGACTTAGGAGGGGGCCTTATTTGAAAGGGTTATTGTGAGGGCGAGAAAGGGACTATTGCAAATAGGGGGATGGGCCTCTTGCAACAGGGGTCGCTCTGATCCTAAGCTCTACAAGCACCCAAAAGGTAGGGGTTTCTTCTACAGAGAGGAGGAAATAAGACCAGAAGGAACTGGAACCGGGTGTGGGGAAACAAAATGACAGGGTTGGTTAATGGACAGATCAGAAGACGTCTTCCTTGAAAGCCGGCCTGTTCTCAGGAGGCGCTGTCTGCCGGCCCAGGCTGGGGCAGAGAGCAAGGCACCAGGGCTGGTGGGAGAAGAGAAGCTTAACCCAGGTTCAGTTAGCAAGAATTTTGATCTGCTGGAACAAGCACTGTGGGTAATCATTTATGAGGCAAAGAATGGGAATTGGGAGGGTGTGGGTCCGGCCTTGCCACAGGTAAACAGGGGGCACCTGTGCATCGTATCGAAGTCATCCGGAGCAGCACGGCTCTTTGCAGTGAGCTGTTTTCCAGAACACAAGGGGGTGGGGGATTCCTCTGCTCTTTTCCAGGAACACAGAGCTCAAGTACAATTCAATACTGTCAGTACTCAAGAGGTTGTCGTGTGGATTCAACGCGACGACCATGCACAGAAAGTGTTTGAAACAAACTCGATCCACACGGGCTGCTTTTAGTTTTGGCTAATGATTGTTTACTTCCAGGACAGTCTAGAAGGATGACTACTCGAGCCAGAAGGTAGAGAATGAGGTAGAGACCTTCTGGAGCTGTCTTGCAGATAAATATGTAGCCTGGAAGCGCGCTGTGGAGCCAGCTAAGGCACATGACGCCACAGATGCATGTTGAACTTGCTCTCTACTCAGCCCCAGGACATTTTCACGTCATCTCCTCTTAAGCAAGACGGATGTTAAGCCTAAAATACATTCAACCTAGCCTCTGGCCATTGACAAGTTAAAAGAAAAACAGAAAGTGAAATATACAACCCAACATGCCAACCCACCCCCCCAAGAATCAAAGCGGACAGGATACAAGACGGCATGGAGACCCAGGAGTTAAGAAAAAACGTGTGGCGGAAAATTCTCTGCTCACTTTTTATCCCCTGCTATAATCAGCGGCATGCAAACCTGTTTTAAATTTACCGACAGCTTTTTAAGCTGCCACCTAGCTCTTGAGGTATTTTTAGTCAAGCAGAAATTCATTTAGACCCTAAAGTCAGGAAATAGAATGGTGTCAGGTGTTGCTCTTACAGAATTCCGCTTGTGCCCTTTGTCAGCCGTATTCACTTCTCATTTGCACACAATTAAATAATCACTTCACCCCCTACTTCTTCGGCATCTTCAGCATCTCCTCACAGAGGGAGGAACGCCAGGGAAGTCAGCGCAAGTTAAGAGATCTGTTCTTAATCCGAATGAACGTCATTTCCATCCGGAGGGACAGACTTTGTGGGGGAGGGGGTTACAGGGTCCAGAGGGCCCTGAACCCACTGAAAAAGAACAAGTTCCACTTTCTCCACTCCAAACAGACGCCTCCAATGAGGCTGTGGCTATATATACATTTCTCGGCTGCCAGAAAGAGCGAGGCAGACAGAGGAGGAAGGAAATTAAAACAATACTGCCGGGCTGGAAGCAACACGAGGGTACCTAAGTCAATGGAGAACCGCCACGCTGGGGCTCAAGCCAAAAATGCAGGGGTCACCTTGATCCCTATCTTTCCTTCATGCCCCGTCCCCCATCCCACCCCCCCCCCTCCGGCCCCGTCCAAGCCATCTCCAACCCACGGGTGAGTCCAACGGAATCTACCACGCAAATGTGTTCAGAACTCCCCCCGCTTCTGATCTGGACCACCACCAGGCGAGGACAAGACCCGGGCATTTCAGATCACAACACCTTTCACTCCCCGTGGGCCCGTCTCCACCCAGCAGCCGGAGGGACCTTTACCAAATCAAAAACCAAATAACACCGGAAATAGCAAACCATCAAATATTCCCATCTCACTGGGAATAAAGTCTAAATGTGTCACCTTGGATGGCAAAGCCCTGCAGGATCTCGCTCCTGCCTCTTTCTCAAGCCCATCGCACACCGCAGAGCCGTCTTCCACTCTGCTCCAGTGCGCCTGGCCTTCTGCCTGTTTCTAGAATATTCCATCCCCTCTCATGCCTCAAGGCCTTTGCCCTCTGCCTGGAATGTTTTCTCTCCAGGTTTTCACAGGGCGTCTCTGGTCATTCAAGCCGGGCCCTCTGGGGACCACCCTCTCCATCACATCATCCTGCTTTAATTCCAGGGATGACACTTGTCATTTGAATATTTTCTTCTTTTTTTTGTCTAAGTGCTGTGTCTTGTTCACCACTGAACACTCAGCATGCACAACAGCATCTGCCCATAGCTGGTGCTCAAGAAGTATTTGTTGAATGAATAAATGATCATACGAAGAAAACATGGCTGAGGCACATTAAGGGACTAGGGGAATTTGGAGGGTGTGGTGTCGTTACAGAACATCTCAATTTAGATGTTAGTTTCACTAGAAACACACACTCCAGGGGGCCAGCCCGGTGGCACAGCAGTTAATTGCACATGTTCCGCTTCAGCAGCCTGGAGTTCACCAGTTCGGATCCCAGGTGCGGACATGGCACCGATTGGCAAGCCATGCTGTGGCAGGCGTCCCACATATAAAGTAGAGGAAGATGGGCATGGATGTTAGCTCAGGGCCAGTCTTCCTCAGCACAAACAGGAGAACTGGCGGCAGATGTTAGCTCAGGGCTAATCCTCCTCACACAGAAGAAAGCAAAAGAAATACACACTCCGTATTTAGAGTTTATAAAAATGTCAAATGAAAAAATCAATTCTCAGACTCCAGTTTTTCCAACCATATTTAAAAGCTTTCCCATAACTGGATCAGGTTTGAAATTTAAATTAAAATGAAATAAAATTAAAAATCCAATTTCTCATCACACTAGCCATATTTCAAGTGCTCAGTAGCCACATGTGGCTGGTGACCATGAGGCTGGATGGCACAGGTGGAGCCCACACTGCCCACCACATCAGTGGTGACAACCATTCCAGCCTCGAGGCCCGTGTCTGGGACAGCTGCTCTGGAGGACGAGACAGCAGCCCCACCCTCCCTGACTTATTTAACCTCCCCGTGCCTCAGTTTACCCACAGGCAAAAAAAGTCAGCACCTAGCCCATCGAGGAATTAAAAGGGTCAAATGAGACAGTGGATAGAAAGCATTTTGGCACAGTGCCTGGCACACAGCGAGGTTTCACTATAAATCATCCTAATCATTATTATGACTCATTCTGATACTGTGAGCGCTGCTGACAGAAGTACAGGACAAGACAGGTGCCCCAGTTAAACCGAAGCCAAAGCTCTAAAAAGCAGGGGCCCTACCAGGAGATGGTTCACAGCACAGACGACTCCCATCGGAGGTTCCTTTAAATACAGTGAAACCTCTGAAGGGCTTTTCAAATAGGAATCAATTTACCCTATTGACGGGGAATTCTTCAGGGACCCTTCCAGGAGGGACCCAGACCACGCGGGTCCTCTTTGTTCCTCTCATCTGTTCATCAGTTAATGGGAGATTCTGCTCATGAGTCCCTCCGATGGGCAGGGGGAGGCTGGGATGGTTCACAAGGCACTGGGGCAGAGAGATCCACGTTGTCGTGGGTCTGTCCGATTTCAGGGCCCCTAAGAGGACCCGATGTTCCCTGTCGGCCCCAAGCAAGCCCAAACCAGAGCTCCCACCCCCAGCCGTCAGCTGCCAGATTCTTGGTGCCAGGGGAAAAGAAGAACCTGCTTGGAAAAGTCTGGAGGTGCATCCCTGCAGCAGGCAGACCGTCCCAGTCTATCCGGAAAAGGTCGCAAAGTAGGGCGTTTTTGTAAATAAAGTTTTATTGGGACACAGCCACGCCCATTCATTTACATATCATTTCTGCCTGCTTTCCCACTGCAGACAGAGAGCTGAGTAGTCACCAAGGAGATTGAAGGGCCCTCAACTTCTAAAACATTTACTATCCATGACCTTTAAGAAGAGGTTTGCTCACCCCTGAGCCAATTCAAACTGGGAGGGATCAGATCAGGGAAGGCTTCCCGGAGGAGGTGACAACCTAATTTTTCCTAATTCTTGCTTTTCACAGAGTTCTCAAAGAGGATGCTTAGACCAGCAGATTCAGGGAACAGAAGGGAAGCAAGCACTGTCACGGAACCCTACCTATATCAAATTCTAGGGCAGAAGCCACCAAATGGTGGCTCATGGGGCCAGAAACAGTCCACAAACCTGTTCTGTATGGCCCTCGTGGTGCTTAAAAACACTGGAGACGACATGGAAGACTGGCATATCTCATGACAATCTGCTTTTCTGACTTCTATTAAGACTTCTGACCTTCTGGTACACGGGAGGCCCACCCTCTCACTGAGCACCCTTTTGATGGAGTGCCTGGTCTCCAGCTCACCATGATCCCACCAGACCTGCTTCCCTCGCCTGTTTCCAATGGGTTCTGTGTCTATGGCCCTCCTTCCACTGCTGTCAAAGGCCTCTCCCACACATTCTTTGGTCCACTACCAACCCAGGAGGTAGCGCAATCATCACCACTTTACAGATGAGAAAATCGAGGATCAGAGAGGTTAAGGGACATCCTTAAGAGCGCCCAGCTGGGAAATGATAAAGCTGGACAGGAACCAGGGCCTCTGATTCTAGCTCACTGCCCCTCTTCAGACACTCGAACAAAGGATCAGTCCCCACGGGGATCTGTCTCGGGCACTCCACAGTGTGCAGAGCTCTCTCGCAGACACAAGGCCTTTGCAGAGAATACAGATCTGGGAGCCACGTAGGCCGCCTGAAGATGGAGGAGCATGTGCTCACCACAGGCCTAAGGAGGCTAGAGGGTAAAACGCTAGAGAAACAAGAACAAGAAGTGGGCAGGCCTCGGAGGTCAGAGGCCACAACTCTAAGGAGCCCAGCCAGCACTGACTGAGCAGCTGCTGGAAGCAGGTCACGGAGCGAGGCGTGGCTCCCCTCTGGGTTCACAGTCTAACCGGGAGGGTGGGAGCTGCACGCTGACAACACAAGGCCGATGCTTTGCTGGCAGGTGCTGGAACCTAGGTGGGGCGGGGGTGGGGTTAAGGGCCCACCCAGGGCCTGGGTGGCATTATACATACACTCGAGTCATTTTGTCCGGGGGCGGGTGGATGGCGGTCAACCAAGGCTCTCGGATAATGCGTCTGTTCCTTACGGCTGCCGTGACACAGGACCACAGACAGAATGGTTTAAACAATAGAGATGTGCCGTCTCACGGTTCTGGAGGCTGGAAGTTGGGCATCAAGGTGTGCGTAGGGGGCGCTCCTTCTGAGGCTGGGGGTGGAGAATCTGTTCCCTGCCCCCCTCCTAGCTTCCGGTGGGTGCTGCCCATCTTCCCGGTTCCTTGGCCGGGAGAAGCATCACCCCGTCACCTTCATCTTCACGTGGTGTTCACCCCGTGTGCGTGTCTGCATCCAAATTCCCCTTTTTGACGAGGACACGGGTCATATGCGATGAGGGGCCCACCTGACTCCAGTAGGACCTCATCGGAACTAACCACGTCTGCGACGACCCTATTTCACATCCTGGAGGTCACGTTCTGAGGTCCTGAAGGGAGGACTTCCACAGGACCATTTGAGGAGCCACAATTCAACCCACAGCGGACGAGTTCCTCAAAGTGGCAGGCAAGCACGGGGTCAGGAGCAGAGATTCTCAAAACCCTCCTTGAGTCCCCTCCCCAAGAAGAATAAAGACGCGGCTTCCCCTCACCCTCCTGAGCAGAACGAGAGCCCCCCGAGGTTCTGACGGTGCAGGAAGGACGCTGAGAACAGAGGGAGGGGTGTGGACAACTCCAGGCACCCTGCACGCGGGCAGGAGGCCAAGCCCTCTTCCCTTTTCACGACACCGTGGAAAACAGAAAACTCAATTTGTTTAAGAACAAACAGGCTTTAACCCGAAGTTCATTCTCCCGCCCAGTGACTCCTCAGCATCTCCATGAACAGCGGGAACAGGCAGCGAGCCCCGGCCACACACTCCGAGGGCCCTAGATTGGGAAAATAATGGCATTTTCTCAACAAATTATCTCCCAGCTGAAGTAATAAGTTGTTTATAGATATGCCAATTCAGATTTTCATCCCCTTAACCTACCTCTAAAAGAAAAGCAGCGTCGTCCCCACAGCAAAATGGCAGCACCTTAATCACCATGTTCCTGGCCCCCTCCGCCCCCCGCCACCCACGGCTGAGCCTTTATTAATTTTAAGCCATTGACAGAGTCTCTTTGGAAACTCTGTTTTCTCATCTCAGGTCAACATCCTCCTGCTCCGTTCCAATAAGAAACACACCGGCAGAGATAAAGTAAATATTTCTCTGGGAAGGAAAAAAAAAAAACCCAAATTATTGTGTTTTAGACACAAACACAAGGACCCAGCCAACCAATTTCCCCAGCGGCTGCCACGGAGTTGACTGGTCCTTGCTGGGGTTCACACTCATTAGGCAACAAGGAAATCCCAGCCTCAGACTCTCTCGTGGCACTCCCAGTCTTCTCACTCTGTGGCCATGTTGGTAAGGGGGACAGGTGTCGGGAGCTACAACAAGTATTCAATCAACAAACAGCGAGTGTGGCTTATGATGTGTGGGCACTGTGCTGGGTGATGGGTACCTCGGTGAATAACACACATCGAGTGCCTACTGCCCTCATTGAGCTCACAGTCTAGAAGGGAAGACTTGCAACCAACCAACCAATTGATAAAGCTGGCTTGTATGAAAAGCGACAAGTAAAAGAAACAAGGTGTGGAGTAAAGAGGGAGTGAGAGCGGCCGGCAACACTTGCCCTGAGATTTGAAGGATGTAGGAGAGTCAACCTCCAAAGAGGGAAGAGGAGGTCGTGCAGAGCTCACGGTCATCTTGTGCCAAGAAGGACAGGACGGGCGACTGCAGAACAGCGAGGAAGCCACTGGGGCTGCACCGGGGAGACCGAAGTCAAAGAGTCCAGGAAGATGAACTGAAGGGAGGGGAGAACGCCAAGGGCCTGGGGCAGGAGCTGGGGTTTTATTCCGAATGTCGCAAGAAGTCACCGCAAGGTTGCAGACCGGGGAACAACACAATCCAGGCCTCCCCCCCCAATCTCTCTCTCTCTGCTTTGTCTCTCTCAGACACACACACACACGCACCCCTCTCTTCTGCAATATATTCTTCAGAGTCAATTCTTTGACATCAGTCCTTGTTAAAGGCAACCCTCTCTGGAACGGGTTCCATATTCAACTCCATCTCAGCGTGGATGGGTTCTTCCAGAGACCAGCTGGAAAAGCTGGAAGGGAGACAGCGCAGGAGGACACTGGGCCCTTGGGAACCAGAGAATGTTGTAGAGGAAGAGGCCAGGGGAGAGGGCTTCGGATGGGCTTCCCAACCCCCAACCCCCCCCACCACTCCCCGTCCTGCCTTGTGGTTGTGGGAACGGGCCAACCTCAGTGGTTCAGGGCGGGAGCGGCCTTCGTGGAAACTCAGAAGGGACGCCCTGCACGTTCGATTACTGCCTAAATTTATACGCGGGGATATACTTATGGGTACAGATTTAGCATCTGCAACCTTAAATGGTGGGAATGGTTACGATTTTCCCCAAGAAGTGGCCGGGACGTTTTTGAGCTTAGCAATGCAATTACTCATCGTGTTCTCCAACCAAGTCCCTGAAGGGACAGACAACTTCCTTTAACATCCTTCTCTATGCTTCTGGGCCAGTAACTTAACCTCTCTTTGCCTCACTCCCTGCATCTCTAAAATGGTAATAACAACATCTCCAACTCCAGGAGTTGGGAGGAGAAAACATAAGAATCCACGCAAAACACTCAGATAACGCCTGGCTGATCGGTCAGCGTTGACCGTTACACGAAGGGTCAACAGCTCTGGCTGTTATCACTGTTGTATCCACCTCTGTAACGTCTAGGAGCACTGGGAATTTATGGAATGTTGGCTGGCCTGTTGTCTCACGCTTGAAGATTTATTACAGAAATAATTGAAAAAAATAAAATAAAGGCCATGTGTTCAAAGATATTTACAATATTATTTATTGAGAACAACACCACAAACATCTAAATGTTCAATAAGGGGAGAATGGCGGCATTAACTAGAACACATCAACCCAATGGAAAACTATGCACTAAATACAATGATTAATACGGAGACTATGCAATTGTAAAGATGTCTGCAAAATGATACTAGGTGGACAAGAGAAAGGCCATGTACACCGTTTAAAAACAGTGGGTGTAGCTAAAGATGGAAGAGACTATGAAGACAGGAAAACAGTTGGTGGGTTGGAAAGGCGGGTCATGGGTGAAGTTTTTAAAAGATGGTTTAGCGTGTGGAAATACAAAATAAATCGTTTGCGAGAGGAATGAGAGTCAAACAGGTGAGGGCTTTATCTGGGGGAGGGTGGAACAGATGATTTCTCAGTAAAGAAACTCTCTCTTCTTGAAAGATGGGCTGGGGGGTTCGCCAGGATGGTGAACACCTCCATGGAAGGTGACAATGTCTGTCACTCAGCCAACAGCAGGTAACACTTATCAGGGCTCCCCAGTGCCAGACATTGTTCAAAGGGTTTCACCAGGATGACCCCCCTTCGTCCTCACATCCAACCTCGGATGCAGCTATGGCCACTTCACAGATGAGGAACCTGATGCTCAGAGAGGGTGAGTGACCTGCCCAAGGTCCCACAACCAGACAGCAGTAAAGGCAGGATCTGAACCTAAGACGCCTCCTCGAGGGCCCTCCTTCTCACCACCCCACCTCCAGGGACAGCCGGGAAGGCTGCCCGCTCCCAGCAGGAGGTGAAAGGCCCCTTTCCAGGACGCCTGGCCAGGAGGAGCTCCCCCTCGTCTCTATTTCAGACACAAGACGTCTATTGAGAGCCAGCCTCCTAGACCTCAAGCCTCAAGGGGCTGGACAGGCAGCCTGGAACGGTGGGCTTGCCCTCAGGAGCCAGAGGCTGGGGAAGGAGAGTCCACCAGATGGATTAGGGACAAAGAAGTTCTCTCTGCATTCAGACCGCAGCCATGGAGAATCAGGGAAGGCCCTCGCGGGACGGTGCAGTGACGTCAGAAAAATCCTCTGCGTGTGTGTGTGTCTAAGGGGGTTCTGGGGAGGGCAACAAGCATGAAAGAGTCAAGGGGGACACAGGGCACCGGGAGGGACAGACACCCCTCCCCAGCCCAGGTGGGACAGAACACCCTGGACAGCTCCAATGACACCAAAAGAGCCTCTGATGCTGTCCTTTTCGACCTCGGAACTCAAAGTGCTGGATTTTTTTTTTTTTTTTTTGAGGAAGATTAGCCCTGAGCTAACTACTGCCAATCCTCCTCTTTTTGCTGAGGAAGACTGGCCCTGAGCTAACATCCATGCCCATCTTCCTCTACTTTATATGTGGGACGCCTGCCACAGCATGGCTTTTGCCAAGCGGTGCCAAGTCCACACCTGGGATCTGAACCGGCGAACCCCGGGCCACCGAGAAGCGGAACGTGCGAACTTAACCGCTGTGCCACCCGGCCGGCTCAAAGTGCTGGATCTTTAGCTCAGAAAGCAAGAGAAAAATATGACACAATTGACAAAGCTGATGACAGAGAGAGGCACAGAGAAACTCACTCACGTACATGCACACCCACGCCCACTGGCACACGTGCACAGGCAGAACAGTAACAGGGCCATCCACCACTTACCTGGGGCCAGGCATTGCCTCGCTTACCCTTCAGATCTCTCCTGGGAGGCGAGAACAATGATGGCCCCCATTTCACAGGGGAGAAACAGAAGCTTCCTGGGCTAAGTTGCTCTGGCAAGGTCACAGGGTCACGATCGGAACCCAGGCAGCCTCTCTCTCAGGAACACACTGGCACACACAGCCAGGTACCCACAAACAATATTCAGAACTGTCTGCACACACAAGACATGCGCCGACACAGACAGACGTGGCACACAGATACAGAGACAGGCATAAATAGGTAGGCAGGGGGCTGCAACCGCCAACATTTGCACCTCCATCTCCATGCAAGGGCCGCCCCTCTGCACACCTCCAGGGGGCGCCTTCACACAAAATGCAAAGGAGACAGGTGATGTTGTGGGACACAAGCTTTCTGGAGGGATAACTCAGATGAGCACAACAGTATTTGGAGTTCCCCTGGCTCAACAAATGGCCTTGCCACCCAGCGCCACCTCTCTACACAGCTGACATCGCTGATCGACGTCCAACCGTGCAGAGGGCTATCTGGTGCCATGGAGGGAGGCCACTCCCGCCGAGGAATGAATGCGCCGCTTGTCGGCTCTGCCGCAGGCAGCAGCACAACACGAGGCCCTGTTTCTCCTGGAACTGAAGCCCTGCGTCCGTTCCAGCCCTCCTTTTCACATCTTTCTTCCCAGCAGACACAAGGCCCACTCAGTTCTGGAGCATTGGCGTGGCTGCCAAGGCCCGGCGGAGAGAGAAGGCCTTGAAAAGTCACTTTATGAAACATCCCAGCCCGCGGGGGCCAAGCCAGGAGGCCGACTTTCCAGCCACCGCACCCCCCACGCAGAGACGAGGGGCTCGGTCACAGCTAGCCCTTGTTCTCACCCGCTGGGAGCCCTGGGGAGTTGGAATTCACGGGGATGGCAATGGAGAGCCCTTGGCACAAACCCCGCTTCTGGCATCTTCCTCGGGGGTCACAGCTTGCTGTGGTCAACCGAGACAGCCTGATGAAGAGCTGAAAGACGTCCATTCACTGTGGGGCCTTGTGAGCTGGGAGACACCCAGGCCGACACTAAGGCCGGCAGGCTCTCTATCACCTGCAGTGGCTGAGGCAGACTCGAGGCAGAGAGGGCCTGGGGCCCGGAGCCAGCAGGAGCCAGGCGTGGGGGCCCTGGTGTGTGATGAGAAAGAGGAGGCAGGCAGAGGGGACACAGAAACTGCCCTTCCATCCCACCTCCCTTGTCCCAGGTACCTTCCAACTGTGGGGAGGAGGAATGAGGACTAAGATTTTACCTCTTCATGTATATTCATTCACTTATTCATTCATTCAACAAATACTGATTGAGCACCTACTGTGTGCTGGGTGTTAGCGTCTTAGGCACATACAGTGTTGAACCAGTCTCCACCCTCATGCAACTTATTCTCAAAATTCTCAAGCTCTCCCCAGCCCTTCCCCCAATTAGTAACTGTGTGACCTGGAGCACACCACTTCCCCTCTCTGTGCTTCAGGGAGCTCTCTCCTAGGGTTCTTGGGAATCACCATCTGGGAGCCACCAAATTCCCCCTAGGGGCCTGAACTAGACCGCGTTGGTTCCCATCATTTGCAGCCAAGAGTTCTGCCTTAGGAGATTAGGAAAAGAGAGCGGAGAAGATAAAAAGCAGGTTTGAGAAGGCTGTGGGAGGCTGGTCATTGCTCATCTGGAAAGCAGATGGGGAGACACGTGGAGAGAAGGAGGCCCTGGGAGGAGAAGCTGTATTCACTCCAGCCTTCTCCAACAGCCCCGAGAAGCTAGGGGTCAAAAGGGACCACAAGATCCTTTAGGACAAAGAGGAAGATGCTGAACAGATAAATGGTTAATTCAGAAGAAAACAAAAGCAGAGGCCTTTTCTTCTCCTTATGCATTCAGTGTTCATTCAACAAATTATCTGGTGTGCTTAGAATATGGTAGGCACTGGCGGGTGTGAGGATGCAACAGGAAAATACGACAAAAGAACAGAGAGTGTCTCTTCCTGCAAGGGTCATACAGTCTTTCAAAAGCCACGTGAACTCCCTCACCTCATTCATTCATTCACTCACTCATGTCTTGGCCTGCTCGCCACCCATCGGTGGGGCTCCTGCTCAAACAAGCCTGAGTGAAGTTTGTGTGGGGTCCCACCATGGGAATCAGGCAGGGCTGCATTCGAATCCAGGCCCTGATGCTCCCTGGCTGTGTGACCTTGAGCAAGTTACTTAGCCTCTCGGAGCCTCAGTCACCTGCCCTGTAAAATGGAAACAACACAGATTTCTTTTTATGGAATAAATGAGATCTTGCTCTTGTTATGTGCCTCCTGGGCCCAGGGACACGCACTTGGGAAGTGTTCCTGAATGGTGCATATGAATATATCACAAATATGAATATATCACAGATTCTCACGAAGTCTTCAGAGCGGAAGCCTCGGGAACTTCGAAGGGCTGCTCCTCCAGAGCCAGTCCCAGCTTCCCTGTGGTTCACACTCACTCCTCACACTTACTCCTGAGTTTCATACCTGATGCTCACGATAACTCACTCAGCAATTTCCTATCCAGGGACCCAATTTCCAGCCTCAAACTGGAACATTCCTCCAGTTTATTCCAAACCCACTGGATGGGACCACGATGTCCTCTCCTCGCTGATAGGTTTGCAGCTGCTGGGAGCATAAGCAGCCTTAGATAGTTGAGGGGGAGGGGCAGCAGGAAGCCCTCGTGGGACACTTCGAGGCCTGTTTTAAGTTCAGACGCCGGATTTAGACAGGACTGAGAACCCAAATTGGGCTCGAGAAACTGGGCCAAGAGATCTGCCCATAATGACATGTATCAAAACCAGAGAGCGCTTCAGTCACGGGAAGAAGAGATGCGAATTCTGGAGACCTTCCTCAGAGCCACCTTCTAGAAGGGACCAGAAAGAGCAGGAAGCTGCCAAAGGGTGTCCAAACCTCCTCCTTCGGAGCTCGAAAGAGTAAGAGGCCAACCTCCAACTGGCAATTTAATTCTATTTTGAAGTTTACTGGAAAGCAGAAAATAAGAAGGGGATCTGACAGAGGCCAGCAGTGCGAAGACAAGGAGGAAACTCATACACACGGATGTTAGACCAAAGCATTCAGAAGGCCCAGCCACTTGGGTCCCCCAGATTGCGACAGCCCCCCAAAGTCCCCTCAAACACAAGCACGTTAGCAACGATGTGCGTTCTTGACTTCGAGCCACAGTTGCCTTCCTGGCTCCCTGTGAAAGGAGACAAGACTGGGGTGGTCAGACATTGAGAAAACGCCCACTCAAATTACTCAGTTGTTTTTGAAGTATTGATATTTGAAGGGTGTGTGTAAGACAGTTTAGTTTCAGCTGCCAAGAACAGACTCAAAAGGAATGCACTGGGGGCCAGCCCGGTGGCGCAGCGGTTAAGTGTACACGCTCTGCTTCAGCGGCCTGGGGTTCCCTGGTTTGGATCCGGGGCGCAGACCTAGCACCGTTTATCAAGCCATGCTGAGGCAGGCGTCCCAGGTATAAAGTAGAGGAAGATGGGCACAGATGTTAGCTCAGGGCCAGTCTTCCTCAAAAAGACAAAACAAACAAAAAGAATGCACTGAATGACAGACCCCAAACTCCAGGGTCTTTGGGACAATCAGAGTCCAGCTCGGAGGCTCTGCTGGGGGAGCTAATGACCCAACCACACTGGGATTGACCAGCACAGCCTCTGCTACTGTCTGTGCCGGGCACAGAACCAAAACCTTGACCTCTACCGGCCGCTCTGAAGCCAACACCTCTATGACTGCCCTTCTCTCCAGAACAGTGGGCCAGCGTCCTCATTTCACTTGCTTCCTCATGAAATCCAGAAATACTGATACAAAAGGTGCATTAGAGCCTTAGGTGCGTAGAAAGAAAACCTGAACATCCCCGAGCCACCAGCTACGCTACACCTTGGTTTTCTGTCGCCTCTCATCATTGTCACTGCATAAGGCTTCTTGTGTATTCCACAGACTTCTGGAAATGTTCGAACGAAGGGGTTGGGCTGCTCGCTCAGCAATAAAGAAGCCGGGTGCTGTGACCTCCCTGCCTGGGTCTGAACCCTGCAATCCAGCCCTGGCTCCCTGGTGGACTGTGGGCAATTTCCTCAACATCCACCAGCAACTGTCAATGATCAGGGTGCGTATGTCAAAGGTTAGTGGTGGGGCTTAGACAGGCTAATGCAAGCCAAGCACCCAATGTGGAGCCTGTAACATAAATTTGTTCAAAAATATTAGTTGTAGCTGCTATTGTTGATGCCACTGTTAAAAATTAAAATATTTTACATATTAAAAATATATATGAATATATATAATCTATATATTAAAATAACATTATAACTCCCTTCACGGTGCTAGTTTCTTGACAGAGTGCCATTCAAGCCAAGAGCTATCTATTTAATGCAATTTGCTCCCCAATTAATTAATTACATTATATCCAAATTGAATTATATCATCTCACGCTCCGAGGAATGCTGACCATTTCACCTCGGGCTGCAAAAAATTGCCCCGCCACCAGAAAATTGCTTAGAAGCTGCCCCTGTCATTTCACTCGCCGAAAGTGAAGTTTGTCACTTTTTGAAGAAGTCTTTTGGCCGTGAGGCCTCGGGACACTGAACCGAGGAAAGTCACTTCTGGAGAGCAGATGAAAACACTCATTGGTTGGCTCCGGGTTTGGGGGTCATTGCTCAAGACGCTGAGTCTTCTGAAGCCTCTCTGATCTCTAAGAACACTGGTCAAAGAGGGCAAGCAGGGTGCCTCCTGCCAGGTCCCGTGAGGACCACCAAGCACCCACCTGGCTGTGAACTAACTCAGAGGTTCCAGAAGCCGCCCAAGAAGAAAACGCTACTGCCCAAAGGCCTCTGTCTGGTGAGGAGGACGCCCATCTTGCTGAGTTTGATGGACACAGTTAATCTAGCTGTTGAATTGGGATACCCACTGCTGACACTCAGCCCAGAGCCGAAAGGAGGCCCAAGGTGAAAAGGATGTTTTCTTTCCTCTGGCACATTATTTTTAGAAAGCCCGTTCAGACTTCTTGGGGGTGGGGAGACACGGCAAGGGGAACGAGATCTCCTCCCATGGGAACATGTCACGTTTATAATGGGCAGGCCTCAGGGCCTCTTCTCTCACACCCACTTGGCTTAAAGGGCATGTGTGAGAAGCACGTGCAAGATGGCTTCTCTGGGCCCTGAAATGCCCCCACAAATGCTGTGCACAGATCCTAGTGTTGAGGGTCCATACCCTGATGAGGTGGAGCCCATGTGCTCATGACCGCTGTTCAGCCGAGTCTCACTCCCATGAGAAACTGTGAACAGCACCCCTGGAGGTGGGTGGTGGGGAGGGCATAAGGTTCAGGTCCATGTGAGGTGGTCCTGGTGCGTGCGCACATACACACACACCCCCCCCCCAAAGATTCCAGAATCCCAGGCTTAACCCCTTAGCCTGGCCTCACTGCCCACTCTGTACTTAGAGGCCAGAATAAAACCCAGGTAAACAGATTAAACGTCACGGCAACCGCATTCCAACCTTGCAAATCCTAAGGGGTGGGGGGGGAAAAGACTCAATTTAAGATCAGCCTCTCTCGGGGGAGGAAGGAAGGGAGAGGGCAGAGGGGCTCTGGAGAAGCCAAGGAATCAAAGTTCTTTTCCGACTCGGATGGAAACGGGGTGGTCTCATACTTTGGCTCTCCCAGTCAACTACACCCGCCATCTTGGAAGGTGGCCCAACTGATGGAGCTCCAAGGGGATCTAATGATGCTTGCTTTCTCAGAAGAACACCTCAACGGGGGTGTACCTACAGGTTCAAGGTTGTTTTCCTGCTGGTCCCACTGTTGGGGAGAGGCAGGGAGGGGCATCCAACTTGTCAAATCCTACACCTGATTTGCAATCCAGACCATTAATTCATTTCTGTTCAGTCACTGACTCCAGCAACTAACATGAGCTGAGCAGAGCTAGAGGCTGAATATATAAAGTGACACTCCTCCCATTTTCCTCGAGCTTGGATACACCATGAGGCAAGGTGCACCCCGCAGAGCAATCCAACCTTCGAAGGGGCCAGCTTTGCACGCCTGAAGGCAGTGTCAGTGCTGTTCTTGGAATAGAGATATTTGCAGGGCCATCAGTGCTGGGAGAGAAGTGCACTCTGTGGTTCCTAAATCCTGTTTCCCATTCTTCCAGCTCACACCACACGTTCTCAGAACACCCTTCTGAACTCAGCTACAATGCCACTTCCTCCAAGAAGACTTCCATGATTCCCCAGACTGATCCAGGCCACCTATGCACACTTTCATGAACCTGTCTGCCCCAGTAGATTGCGAGCTCTGGGAAGTCAGGGATGGTGCCTAATTGCTCACCATTATACCCCCAGTGCCTAGCAGAGCCTGACACACAGTAGGCACTCAATGCATACAGCCCACAGAGAGGCAGGGTAACAGTCGGTCTAGTTGTACCCCAGGACCTGACACTGCTCAGAAACGAGGTGGCATTTCTGCTGACGAGATACTCATGTGTATTAACACCACACAGCTCTGCACTTGGGGGGACCCAGAGGCTGGCTCCACACCCTCCCAGGACTCCCCACCAGTTGCACCCCATGCTCACGCACAGGCAAGGAAGGGGTTGCTTGTTCCCATTGCATTTTCTTAGATTCTGTCTTTGTCTAGATGGCATCCAGGCATCACAGGGCCAATGATATTAACTCAATTTTCTTCTTTTCTATATTCTTGATGCTCTGGCATTTGAGGGCCTTATAGACCCCGGGAGAGACTGCCCCTCCAGCCAATTCTTAACGCTAACAAAGGATCAGCCAAGAGCACACCTTTTATATACAAACCAACCAATTCCTAGTCTATACCCCTCAACTACCACCTTCACAAGCCAGTATTTCCTCTGCCCTAAATCATCCATCCCAGGGCCAAGCATCAGGCAACTAGAGACCGGTCCCAGAGCCCAGAGGCCTCCGGACTATTCAAACTAGCCAACCCTACGCTGTTTACTCCGCTCTGCCTGCCTTCCCTCAGAAACCCCAACGAAGGCTCTGGCCTAGGCGATCCCCTCCCTCCTGTCGTCCACTTCCTCACCAAAACCTGCCTTTCCTCCCGTGGCCCCTCGCGGTGGCCACGCCCCTCGTTTCTAGGGGAACCGTGAGTAACAAGAAACTTTTCTTTCAATGGCATGGGCCCCTCTGCGCATCATTTAGCCACCTTTATGAATTAAGACCCGGGGACAGAACAGGGGGTAGACGTGTGGGTGGGTCTCCTTATGAGTGTCCTGCACCCCCCCTCACTCCGTTTACCCAATCAGCTAGTCTTGCCCGCAACCACAGGAAGCCTTGACACATGTAGTGAGAAACGAGAAAAAGAACGTTTCTGCCAAGCGTGAAAAACAAATCAGAGAGGGTAGCGTGGTGCCCTGGCTGAGACTCAGGAGCCAGATCGTCTGGGTGTGTTCGAATGCCACTCTGCCACCTCCCCAGCGTGGGCCCTGCCCAGCTGTTCCCACTCCGCACGGCCGACTCCTCACGTGCAGAGTGGACTCGCGACAACAGAAGGTGGATGAGGATTCAAGTACGTTAAGGAGGAATGCGCCCAGTGCGGAGGGAGCACCGTGCGGGCATTAACTGCTAGCATCCTCGCTCCCCCTTCCAATCAGACAGTCAAGGGAATTGGTACCCGCCCCCGTGGAGGGAAAACCATCCCAATGATTCTACCTTTCATTCAGCACTCACTACTCGCCCGACAGCACTCGCAGCACCTGGCAGAAACACCAAAAACCGGCCTCACATGCCAGCCAACCAGACGGGGATGATGATCACCCACCCCCATTTTACACACGAGAAAACTGAGGCTCAGAGAGGCTAAGTTTTCCCCGAATCACAAAGCTGGGAACCAGTGCACGCGGCCAGGATTTCTGATTCTAAAAACTCTCTTCTCCTCTTCCCACTTTCAACCTCCCCCATTTCCTGTCCCCTGACTTCAACAAATATACATTGAGCTACGTGCCAGGCGCTGGGCTGGGGCCGAGGACACGGCAGTGAGCAGCACGGCTTCGAGGAGCGTCTTTATAGATCTTACAGGCTCGTGGGAGAGAGGGTCAGATGGGAAAATCGCAGAAATGAACAGAGCGGTGCAGACTGAGAGAAGAGGATGATGGTAGATGCTGCCGTGGTCAGAGACAGCCCGGGGGGGCCTCGAAGGTCTCTGTCGAGAATATTCCAGGCAGAGGGAACTGCAGGTGTGAAGACTCCGAATAAGCGAGGGCTTGGCACGTCTGGCCAGAAGGCCGGAGTGATGGCTACTCAGAAGCAAGAGGAGAGCGGAGAGCGGTAGATGACAAGAGGAGAGCAGAGTTTCCCCCTCTACTCATCATTCCTGACATCTTGTACCAGAACATTCTTTGCTGTGGCAGCCCATCGTGTGCGCTGTAAGACGTTTAGCAGCATTCCTGGTCTCTACCCACTAGACATCAGGATCACCACTCCTCTGGTCATGACAACCAAAACTGTCCACCCATGGCCAATGCCCACCGCCACAGGGAGCCCCTGGGGCAGAGAATGAGATCCTCAGCCACCAAGCTATTTCAGGGTGAAACAGAAGCCCGTGACTACGGAATGCAGAATTGGCCTTTCCCTGACTTAGTTAGTGGAGAGGATGCACTCCACTCCTCTGGGGAATTTTGGGGGGAAAAGTAAATTCCTGTGCTCAACAGACTGTGAGCTCCCTGAGGGCAGCCATATGGCCCTTCGCCACCATGTCCCTGGGGCCCATGCCAGGACGGAGTATAGAAGGCACCCGGGAGTGTCTGAGAACAAGGGGAAATCTCGCTGGGGTCCAGCTTGCGTGGCCGGAGGCCTGGCACCCCTCAGCAGACGCTTGCTTTGAGAACGGCCCTGGGGGAGCTGCAGCCCTGCGGGCAACGTCAACGGTGCCCCCCCCCGCCACAGGCTCCTCAAGGGCCAGAATTTAGGCTCTGAGTTCTGCAGGAGAGCAGGACGGATTCACAGAGCTCTCTGCTGCTGCCCCTGCCAGCCACGGCCCCGCACAGTCCACACCTGCCTGATCGTAAACTGCCCCTTAAAACAAGGAAGTGAGAATGCAGAGGTGTGTTAACTACAGCCGGCTGGGTGGGGTTGAGGGGTTCAGGAAAAAGTCATGCAAATGAGCACTGAAGGCAAGTGAGGAAATCTAACCTTTGTGCAGCACCCACATGTGCTCTTGAGGGGGTGACTGGTGTGGCTTTAAAAATCAAATAATGACCAGGTGATATTTAAGTTCACTTGGAGCCTTCACAAGCCCCTGGACTGCACTTAACAGTTTAGGTAACACTTCATGGATAGCTTGCAACTCTAAAGGTATGGGATGCGGGCTCAGCTTTGGTGCTGGAGAACGGAGATAATGTGTGACAAGGGGTTAACAAAGAGGGGCCAGGTATGCTTCCTTTATTTGCTAATAACCACTTCCCAGAGAAAAGAAAATATCACTGTGCCAGGCTTTCCTGACTTATTCTTCATTGATCCCCACAATAGCCTCATGCAGTAAATATTATCCTATTTCCTAACTGAGAAAACTGAAGTTGGAGAGATTAGGAATTATGACCTTCATCATCCAGCTAGTAAGCCTTAACTTCAACCACGCTCCCCTCACTCTCTCAGCTCTAGCTATACCAGCCTTCTTGCAGTCCTGCCCCAGGACACTTGCACAGGCTGTTTCCCCGTGCCTCTATTACTCTGTTCTCCCTTCTTCACTCGGTTGACTCCACTACCTTCACATCTCCACTACCTTCACATCTCTACCTTATTCATCTGCCAAGAAGCCTTCTTTGGCCTTTCTCCAGACCAAACCACCCTATAAAAGCTCTTATCATCAGGGCTTGCTTTTCTGCATCAGGACTTATTAAAGTTACAATCTAACAAGAGCCACTGTGTGCTGGCTCCCCAGGCACCATGTATCAGATTCAAGAGGGCCAAAACCTCTTTGACATCACCCTCATGGAGAGGTGGGGTCTTATTCCCCTTGAAACTGGGCTGGCCTTAGTGACACATCTGACCCATGGAATGTGACCCATGGAATGAGGGATGTTCTGAGACCACTGGGCCTAGGTTATGAGAAGCTCCAGCTGGGACTCTGGAACAGTCACTCTCTGGAAACTCCCACTCGAAACCCAGCCACCATGCCGGAGAAGCCCAAGCCACACACGTGCTCTTGCTGGCAGCTCCCAGCCCCCAGCCAGCACTAACGGCCAGCCATGCGAATGAGACGCGCCGGGTATGAACCCCAGCCGAACCTTCAGATGCTGGCAGCCCCAGCCCATTTCTGCCCGTAACACATGCGAGAACCCAAGGGAGAACAGTCCAGCTAAGCCCAGCCAACCCCAAAACTCCAAGAGAGAATAATAAATAACGGTTTAAGCCACTAAGATTGGGAGCAATCTGTTACACAGCAATAGATGACCGGGACCCCACAGGATCCAAGACGACGTTGCTCACACCTTAGATGTACATACGGGAGGCAGCAGCTATGACCAGGGGCTTAATAAATATATTATCTATTAATTAAATAAAGAACTGAATGAGTGAATAACTAATGGTGGAGGCTGGATTCGAACCAGGTTACGTAACTCCAAATTCCCCTTCCCTTTTCTTTTAAACTATCACCTAATATTCCCTTGAAAAGGAAAACACCACTTTACTTCCTGTCTATCACATTTGCTACAGGTTTGGGAGGGAAAGGGGAATGCTTGACCTGAGCCTTGTCACAACAAAATGGTGGCCTCTGCAGCTCTCTACGCCAGGGGAAGCTCAAAGGGAAAAAGAAGCTTGCTCTTGTGTTGTCACCCGCTCACCGTGGGTCTGCACGGAGGATGACAAACTCATTCTGGAAAGGGCCACATAAATACGGCCAGAAGGCCTCTGTCTTAACTGCTGAACTCTGCCCTAGGGAGAACACTGCCAGAGGCGATGCGAAAAGGAATGGGTGTGGCCGTGTTCCGCTGAGCCTTTATTTACAAAAACAGACAGCGGGCCAGATTCGCCCATCCCTGGAACAGAGTAACACAGAGGGTCTCCCACTAAGGAGTGAAACGGGCAACGTCTCCGACAGATGTGACTCTCAGTACTTGACGTTGGATCATAGACAGCATCTTTCACTCTATTTTGGCACGGTCAAGCAAGTTCAGGGGCCAAAAAGGTAAGAAAAAGTGACAGCAAAACACTTAATACAGAGAAAAGTCTGATCCACTGACCTCCTTTTTCCTTCTGTAAATGGGGAGTGGGGGAGCCTGCTCCCCCGGATTTGAGTAGGGGGTGCCCTTGGCCAGCTCATGAGAGCAACGTTCCCTGAAAGCAGTATTCGGAAACCACTGAGGCAGCTCAATGGAAAGAGAATTTCCCCGGGGGCGGCCCTCAGTGAACTATCTGTTGATAAATAACTGAGGCTATGTCTGTTACAATGAGAGGAATCCACTCATTAATATCAGCCCATTCAACAACCGGGCTCAATGACTGGGTGATGTTTACTCAAAGCAGCAAAACACTGTCGAATGGCTGACTCTCTTGTCTTCCCGGGATCAAGCCTTGAATTTCAGAAAGTGCTGCTAGGTTAGCCAAAAACTGGCAAAATAATTGAACTTACATACACAAGGCACGGGGCACAAATTATGGCCTGTCCCCAAACTCTCAATGTCAGGGTTATACTGCTAATTTTTTAAACTTTGCATTTTAAAATAATTATAGACTCTATACATTTAATTTTTCAACGAGCCACAAAGGCCTGGCCAATGTTAATTCTCAGGCAACAGAAATTGGCTGTGCTAATTATTATTACCTGTAACGGCTCGATGTGTGAGCCACTCTTGAACTCACAAAGCAATTTTAAAAAACAGTATTGTGTCGTTTTATTCTTCGGACTGTCCCAGGATTACGGAGAATAGGTATGGCTGTTTTCATTTTGCAGACGAAGAAAGTGAGGCTCAGAGTAGGTACCAGTGACCTGCCCAATGTCACGGCTAGTAAGTGACAGAGCCGAGGCTGCAAACCATGCCTTCTAGCTCCAGCCCCGTTACATGAGGAACACCTCAAGCGAATGGAGTAACTCCTCTCCGATAATAATTAATATGCAACATCTCTTTTTATTGTTCTTGGCAAGGTTTAGCACAGTCCAAAACAACGTGCTTGGCTAATTATCCAGATTTTTTTTTTTTTTTTTTAGCTAAGGGTCCAAACGTTCACTTGGATGGGTGTGCATATTATTTGTTACACCATATTTTTAAAGGGAGGCGAATGTCCAATGAGGACCCGAGGACTTGGCCTGGAAGCAAATTTCAACCAAAAACATCAATTTACTCTCTGATTTTGCCTCCATTTCAACAACGGAATCTTTCTTGATTGACTCAATAAAACCCACTTCAGATTTAAACACCAGGAAGGGAGGGGAGTTGGCCCAAGCCAGATGGCCTCGTCTTTGGGACCTCACCAAAACACAAGCCAGCTGCTCTGGAAACAGCGCGCTTGAACCACCGGATATGTACACAGCGTCCCTCCCCCACGGCTGTGCTCGCGCCGGGGCTGTGTACACTTTACAAGTTGGTCTACCTTATTAGTCACCTTTCCAATCAAACATTAGGACTCCATGAAGAGCCCGTGGAAAATTAACAACTAGACATATATTTTGATCTTCAGAGAATACACCTGTGCCTCGCCTCTCACTGTCCTTTTGATGGGAGGCTAAGGGACAGAAGAATCATTGCAAGGTTCCGGAAAAATCCTTGCCAATAAAGGAGTGGCAGGCTGGATTTTCCAAAGATGATCGCAACTCTATCACCCATCTCACATGCTTTCCTGCAAAGTGACCTTGCCACCTACACCCCCCCTCTCCATTCCAACAAGGGGTGGGGTCTATTTTTCCAGCCCCCATAATCCGGGTGGGCCCTGTGACCACTTTGAGCCACAGAATATGGCAGGAGTGATGCTGTGCCAATTCTAGGCACAGCCTTTAAATTCGTGGCAGCCTTCAATTCCTGCCTCCTGGAGGCCAGCTGCCACATAAGAAGTGTCACTCTCCTGAGACCACGATGCTGCGAAAATCAAGCCACGACACGAGGCTCTGGAAGACAAGATGCAACACGGAACGTGAGGGAGGTAGAGGAGGAACAAGACATCAGAAACATGGACGAAGAAGTCATCCTAGAAAGCCGACCCTCCAGCCCTGGCTGCCGCCACACGGAGCCGAAACAAACCTCCCACAGAGCCCTTCCAACCCACGAAACTGAGAACGAAACAAAACGGTTGTTTTAAGCCACTAGATTTTCAGATAGTTTGTTATACAGCGATAGCGAACTGCAACACCTACTTTTCATTGAAACATAAGGTAGATCGACTGGAGGCCGCTGTGAACGGTTGCACAGTTTGCAGACTGCAAAGTGGGGGCTGAAATCTAGCCAGTGTCCCCGCCACGTCCTGCATGGTAGGACCGCACCGGCCCAGCCAGGCATTCCTCTAGTCCTCTGCTAACAGGGCGCCTTCCCAGCCCCGAAAAGGCCCCATACAGACTGGCAGTGACCAACTCAGCTGTCCAGAGTTGAGACTTTAGCCTGGGGAAACCTAAGAGTTTTAAGGAAAAAGGCGATCACCACGGCCAACTGAAGTGATTTTTCCCTGCCGCTCTCCCGGTGACCTCGCTGGGCTCCCCAGCTCTACCTGGTACTTCCTCCCTCTGCCACCCCCAAACGGGGGCTGATGCCCTCCCTGTCTGGTGGGTCTGCGCACCCAGCCGTGGTGCCTGTTGACGGATGCCAGGTGAAACTGCCCAGCCCAGGACAGAGCTGAGTGCCTCAGTGCCGGGCCGTCACCGCCCTGCTTCAAGGGCAGCCTGAGTCTGCTCCCTGTCACCTTCCAACAATGGCTGGCAGTTGGGCTCATTCAGAACCCATTAAGATGATTTTTTTCCTCCAAGGCCCTTCCATGAGGACTGAATAGTAATGAGGCTCCATTACAAAGTGGGGGGCCTCCTGCTGCCCTCGGCACCGGGCTGTGGCTCTGTGGGGACAGTCCTGTGTGCTGTCCTCCCCCCACCTCTCTCTCCCGGGCTTTTGAGCAAGAGTCAATATTGATGACTGTTATTTTCCGGAATGACGAAAGGCGAAAGGCTCACCAGGCCACGATGCAATGCCCAAAATCCACGGGAATCTAGACATCAGTGGCCGAAGCCATCTTTGCCCCCCAATGAGGGGCAGGAAGTCTGCTGGGCCTCAGTCCGACCAGTCGTGCCTGGGCTAAGAAGCTTTATATTTGTCCATCCAACCCAGGGGACGTGTGGACATCCTCCTTTCTCCTTCCTCTGAGAAGGTGGTGCATATCACTCAGACTTCAGAGCCAGAAATATCTGTGTTCAAATCCAGACTCTGCCACTTCCTAGCTCAACTTCTCTGGGTCTCCATTTTCTCATCTATAAAACAGAGGCAAGAACTAACACCTCCTAGCAAACCAAGGAGGACCGAACAGAAGAAGGACGAGTCTTCTAGAAATCATGGCACGCAAGTTATTCCCTGTGACTCGTGAACAAAGCTTTTTGAAAAAATTTCCATAGTTAAGTATTTATACATGGATGTATATTGGAAGAAAACATTAATTAAGGCTTCATTAATACCATGATTTTATGGATACTATAGCTTAATGTTGAGGTTAAGTAACAAGCGAGCGGATTTAAAGAAAAATATTAAGTCACTTTTGCTGGGGAAAATGTTACATGGATGCCATAAAAACACAGAAAATGAGGTGCGTAGATACCCACCCTCACCCTGTGTGCACACAGTAGGTATGGACACCACCACCCGGCGCATAGTAGTTGCTGGTAAGTGTCTGTTCCCTGTCCCTCTCCTGTCAGAGCAGTCCCCCCGAGGCTTGTGACGGCATCAGCCTCCACCCTTGAACTTGGCTCCAGCCTCATGAGGGCTTGGCCAAGACTTAGAAACAGGACGTGGGGTCCCCAAAGTCTTGGGGATTTTTCCCCGTGCCAGGGTGACAAGGAGGAACAGTCTTTAGCTCTGCGGGTAATGATTTCCTGTTAAGCACCTCATAAACAGCAGGGCTGGCCCACCTCAAAATTTTATTCAGGGCCCGCTATTCCCCACTCTTCCCCACCGTATGCTGCCCCTTCTCTGCGTATTTAACTCCCCGCTGACAAATGATGAGATCTGGATGCACAGATCAGGCAGGGTGAGAGCCAGCAAGGCTGCTCATTCACACTGTCTATCTATTTTAAGAGCCAAGAAACTATTTTCCTTGGACCTACCAATTCCATAGGACGCCGGGTTGCTCCCGTCCGAATGGAGGCCAACTGTAAATGGCCGAGGCCAGATGAAATGAGAAGGCCGATCAGCTTCCGTCAGACCCATGGACAAAGAATTCTTAAGCATCTATGGAGTGACTTTTCAGTTCCCAGAAACCAAAGGCCGCACTTAAAGTGCGGGACCCCAGTCCATATTCCAGAAAAGGCCCTCTGTGAACTGTTTACAAGAACTCATCCGACCGGGCCCCTAACTTTCACCTGCTGCTGTTCCTTCAACCTGTGGCTACACCTGGACCCTATTCACTCCGTCCACCCTGAACTGCTTTTCCTTCCCACAACACACCCCCAGACTGGTGCCCGCCACCACACCTTCGCTCAGGCTGTTCCCTGTGTGTGAACGCCCTTCCAGCTCCTGCCTCTCTAGCCAGAGAGCTTAAATACACCCTTTAAACTCAGCTCAGACTCAACTCCCTCCAAGCAGCCACCTCTGCCTTGCTAAGAGTCAATGCTCTTCCACGCAGCATGACTTCTGGGCCCCCCCTTGGCTTGTCACGTTGTTCCATAACTTGCTTCCACGTCTGTAGGTCTATTTGGCTGGGAGCTCTGTGTCCGATGTTCCCTACGAGGCAAGGAACGGAGTAGGTGAGCAACGTGTGTCTGGAGAATGAATGAAGACGGGAATCCCATGAGTGCCAGCAGCCATTCACTTAATAAATACGTTAAATGAGTGTGTACTATGCGCTAAGGAGACCACAAGAATAACAAAAGGAAGGATACACTCTTCTTTAAGGATAAACAAGGAGCAGGGACTCGTTCCTGCCCTCGCGGGATTTATACTCTAGATCCAAAGACAAAGTCAGACACAAATAAACGAGATTATTTCAGACAGCAATTAACGGTAGGGTGACAGTAAAACAAAGTCACGGCACGGAGCAGAGATCAGCGACCGACAGCCAGTGGGTCCAGTCCAGCCCGCCACCTGTTTTTGTAAACAGGTGTTACTGAAACACAGCAATATCCACTTATTTACATATGATCGATGACTGCCTTCGCACACCAAAGGCAGAGTTGAGTAGTTGCAACAGAGACCATAGGGCCGTCAAGTCTAAAATATTTACTATCTGGTCTCCTATAGAAAAAATTCTGCAGGGGCGGCCCCCTGGCCGAGTGGTTAAGTTCATGCACTCTGCTGTGGCAGCCCAGGGTTTCGCTGGTTCGGATCCTGGGCGCGGACACGGCACCACTCATAAGGCACGTTGAGGCGGCACCCCACATGCCACAACTAGAAGGACCTGCAACTAAGATATACAACTATGTACCAGGGGGGATTTGGGGAGATAAAGCATAAAAAAAAAAAGATTGGCAACAGTTGTTAGCTCAGGTGCCAATCTTTAAAAAAAATGAAAAAGAAAAAATCTGCAGATCCCTGGCATAGAGAGTGATTGTGGGAGAGGGGACTTTAAGTAGGGTGGACTGGGAAGGCCTAAGAAGGTGACATTTGAGTGAAGACCAGAACGATAAGAAGGCATCCGCCATGCAAATGTGTGGCAGGAGCAGTTCCAGGCAGAAAGAACAGCAAGTGCAAAGGCCCTGAGGCGGGTTTAGGCTTTTCTTATCCCAGAGACAGAGAGAAAGCCGAGGTGGCATAATCAGGTGGAGAATGGTACAAGACAAGACCACGGTACGTGGAGTGTAGGTGATGTGGAACCATCATGGATGTAGGATGGCCTACGTGATGTGGGCCATCATGGAAAGACAGAACTAGCAAGAGCTAACACTCATGAATAATTCTGAAAGTCAGTGAAGGTATCTGGGTTTTTGGCAACAAGCGATGAGATCGTCTTCACGGAAGAGGAGGATGATGAAGTCATCAACATCAACATGCACGATGAAGTCTAAAATATTGACAACTTTGCTCAAGACTTCTTTCCCACCAAAAACAAAGTCTCCCAGTCAATGTACTCAGTTCTGCCCTACGCTCCCCGCCCCATACCACATTCAAGCTTGTTCCAAGTGCTCAGGCAAGAAGCTTCTAGAACAGCTGAACCAGCAGGCCATACATGTATCTCACCCACACTACTATTTTTATTTAAAACACTCAGTTTCTTTTCTTACATCCATGTTTCAAAAGGAACTGCTGGTTCACTCTAAAATCACAGGTTTAAAATACCAGTTATATATATTTCCTTTAAATACAACAAAAACATTTTTTAAAAAATGGCCACCTGTCTACCGCCTAAATTCATCTCAGCTACGCTTTGGGAAACAATTGCTGAGGTCCGAATCTGCTGAAACCTCATGAACGCAATGCACAACCAGCTCCTGACGTCCTAATATTGGGGAAGGGGTGCTGTCGTGGTTCCACAGAAGGACAGAGAGGTCAGAGGGCAGCTTCGGGACCATGGCCCAAGCTGTGGAGTCAGACAGAGCTTAAAGCTGACCTCAGCTCTGTGCTCTTGGCCAAGTCAAACCTCAAGAGCGTCAGACTCGTCATCTGCTAAACAGACCTGGCTGTGGACTGCTGAATTAAGAATTAAGAGCCATGCATGAATCATCCTAGGACCTGACACACAATAGACACTCAATAAATGACCACAGCTATGAGGACAAACGTGTAATTATTTAAGGTGATAATTAAGATCATCAAAAGTCCTTCAGTCTCTCAAAAAGTGCTAAAGCACCTCGTCACCAACATGTCCGAGCTTCTGGGACTTCCACAGCCCCCGGCCCAGTCACCACCCCGCAGCTTTGGGGACCTCTTGGCGGAACAGTAGTTTTCCACTGGGTTCACCAAACTAGGTCTCCTTTTTCTTGCTTTCCTTTTATTTTTTGTTTCCAAAAGGCTCCTGATGAACAATCATTCAGAGGGGAGGAGGAAAGAAATTACAGCCATGCTCCTTGTTCTGGTCCCTGCTGGGTCGGGAGGCTGCTATTTCAGACTCAATCAGCTACCTGCAGGGTCACTGGTTGAAATTCCTCCCTACGGGATCAGGAGGAAGTGGCACCACTGGGACACTTCCACCTGTGACCTGTAGCCCGAAAACCCCAACTGCTCAGAAGTCCCAGGACCTCAGCCTAAACCGGGACGGGAGCCCAATTTCTTTAAAGAACCCCCTTCTTAGACAAGCAGCATCTCACACTGGCTCTGCAGGGAAAAATGCAACGTACATGCTCTGAAAGCAATTACATTCCAATGGTGAGGACCAAACACCGCCCTGAACTGGAGATCATCCGAACTTCACTGTGAAACGGCCTCGGCATGAACAGATTCACGTCCCTCACTGCTTAATTCAAGGAAACACTCAAAGTGGTCTTTCTTCCCTTGGCACAAAGGAAGGTGAGAGGAAGACAGCCAAGACACACGTCAGGCTGGTGATGACAGCGCGGCAGAGATAACAATCACGGCCCGGGATAATTCAGTCGCTGGCTAACAGGATGCACAGCGCTCTCTCCTCCCAGAAATGGTGCACTGGTGGGGTCTCTCCACCCCACCACTGGCTTCCAGCACCTGTAATAAGTGGCAGGGCCCAGGGAAAACAAAATCGGGGCGCCTTGTTGAAGAGTGATTAAGAATTTCAAGATGGTGACAGCAGAGCATGAAACCAAGCTTGGGGCCCTTCTGAGTGGGGGACCCAGCGCCCAGGGTGCACCCATGAAGCCAGTCCTGCATGTCCCCCTTCTGGGTGCCTCCAATGACCACGCTCCCGAGATCATCCCAACCTAATGAGACCCTAGGATTTAGAACCCAAAGCCTGAGCTTCATTTAATTTCTGTCACTTTATTCTAAGAGGCAGGATCCAAAGAACACCTGGGGATGAACAGCACTCATAACTCAGTTCAAAAAAAAAGGGGAATGTGGGGCTGGCCCCGTGGCCGAGTGGTTAAGTTCGCGCGCTCCGCAGCAGGCGGGCCAGTGTTTCGTTGGTTCGAATCCTGGGCGCGGACATGGCACTGCTCATCAGACCACGCTGAGGCAGCGTCCCACATGCCACAACTAGAAGGACCCACAACAAAATATACAACTATGTACCGGGGGGCTTTGGGGAGAAAAATAAAATCTTTAAAAAAAAAAAAAGGGGAATGACCCGAAGTTTATAATCAATGGAAAATGGGAAAAAATGTAAAAAAGCTAAAAAATTCTTAAAAATAAGTAAATAATACTAATAATTAGTAAACAGAATATGCATAATAATAAGTAAATAACATAAAAATAAAACCATTGCCAGAGCAGGGGTCAGCAACTTTTTCTGTAAAGGTCCAGGAAGTAAACATTTTCAGCTCTGCGGGTCGTAAGATCCTTGTCACGGCTCCTCAACTCTGCAGTTTGAGTGCCAAGTAGCCACAGACAACACATAAATGAATGGATGCGGCTGTGTTCTAAGACAACTTTCTTTCATAAAAACAGGCAGCTGGCCAGTTTGGGTCCGAGGGCCTTGTTTTGCTGACTCCAGATTTAGATCGGCATTTCTCAAATCTCAGTGTGCCTGTACATCACCTGGAGATCTTGTTAAAATAAGATTTTGGGGGGCTGGCCCAGCAGAACAGCGGTTAAGTGTGCACGTTCCGCTTTGGCGGTCCGGGGTTCACAGGTTCGGGTCCCGGGTGCGGACAGGGCACCGCTTATCAAGCCATGCTGTGGCAGGCGTCCCACAGATAAAGTAGAGGAAGATGGGCATGGATGTTAGCTCAGGGCCAGTCTTCCTCAGCAAAAAGAGGAGGATTGGCAGCAGATGTTAGCTCAGGGCTAATCTTCCTCAAAAAAAAATAAATAAATAAAAAATAATAAAAAAATAAGATTCTGATTTTGAAGGCTGGGTGGGGCCTGAGACCCTGCATTTCTAACACACTGCCAGGTGATGCTCATGCTGTTGGTCCAAGAACCACACTTTGCGTAGCAAGGAGAATACACTCAAAAAAGAAAAGAAGGAATAACTCCTCAAGAAGTGAAATGTTGGCAGAACACAGTATAGAAAAGTAATTTATTTTCTCATTATCAAGGAACAGAGTTATGCGATTTAAGTCCATCTTCAAGAGGGGAATACCATGTCATTGGCAATCAACAGTGGAGTTAACTATCATTATCAGAAAGCAAAATGCTACACAGTTTTTAAGCACTGCTGTGCATCTTCTGGCCGCAGTTAAGAAGGACATACACCAATCAATGCAGGTAAATGAATCCATTCAAAGGCAGGCCACGGATGGTAAGGCGTATTGAGCAATAAAGTTGCTGAATTAGCAACAGGGCGCTGCAGGACATTTTTTTATAAAAGCGATTCCTCTTTGGAACTAGACGGACAGCAGGGGAGCGTGGCAAGCGGGGCCGGACTGGAGGAAGGGAGCGGGAGCGAGGGACAGTGGCCCCTCTGGGCTGGTAGCTTATGTGGGAAGTGTGGTTGAGTCTCTTCTGGTGTGTGGTCAAGGGCCCAGTGAGGGCCTGTTTCCTCGGGCAGGTGGCAACTTCTGGATTTCACATGCAGAGGTCTCTAACAAACATCGTCCTCCAGTTCAGAGGAAGATAACAAAAGGAACAGATCCGCTCATTCACTGCTGGCGAGAATATAGAATGATGCAGCCACCCTGGAAAACAGTTTGGCAACTTTTTAAAAAGTTAAATAGAAATTTACCATATGACTCAGAAATTCCACTCCTGGGAATCTACCCAAAAGAAATGAAAATATACGTCTATACACCACAGATTTGTACACGAATGCTCAGAGCAGCATTATTCACAATCGTCCAAAAGTGGCAACAATCCAAATATCCATCAACGGATGAACGGATAAATAAAATGTGGTATATCCATACCGTGGAATACGACTCAGCAGTATGCCACGTGTACAGACCTCAAAAACATTATGCTAAGTGAAAGAAGCCAGATGCAAAAGACCACATGGGGTATGAGTCAATTTCTCTGAAATGTCCAGAATAGGCAAATCGACAGAGACAGACAGTAGATGAGCCACTGCCTGGGGAATGAATACAAATGGGCAAGAAGAATCTTATTAGGGTGATGAAAATGTTTTAAAACTAGATTATGGTGACAGTTGCAGAGTTTGGTGAATTTACTGAAAATCACTGGACAACAGCCTTAAAATGTATGAATGTTATGGTATATACATCATACCTCAATAAAGCTGTTTTAAAAAATCAAAGGTTCCCATTGCGTCCTTTCCTGTCTCATGTTTCATATCCTTAGTTCTTTTTCTTTTTTTGATTCTTCTTCTCCCCAAAGCCTCCCCCAGTACCTAGTTGTATATATATATTCTAGTTGTAGGTCCTTCTGGTTGTGCTATGTGGGACACCGCCTCAGCATGGCCTGATGAGAGATGCTAGGTCCACGCCCAGGATCCGAACCTGCGAAACCCTGGGCCACTGAAGCGGAGCATGCGAACTTAACCACTCAGCCACGGGGCCAGTCTCCCTAGTTCTTAAAATACTTAGGACTCCCATAAACTGCAACAGATCCAAAGACCCCCTGGTTATTTTGGATGGGGTGGGGGGGCAGGTCAATATACCCTGGAGATGGCAGGTCAAATGACTCGCCGAGGGAGGAAGATAAACAGGCAGGAACCAGGTCTTTGATTTTTACAGCAAGAGCGGAATTCATCTGTGGTCAGGGCATCATCCGGGCACAGGAGGGCAAGGCCCGCGAAGACGGCTCGAAGACCAGGGACCCCAAGCTCCAACCAAACCCAAGCCCACGAGCTTGTGAAGACCCTGGCCCCAGGGGAATCAGGAGTGAGGGCAGTTACGGCAAATGCCTAACGCATCAGTTGTAGTGGAGAAAAGAGAAAGAAAACTGGCTCTATTGAGAGCCAAATTCACCGCCTCCCGAATACACCCACAGCCACAAACTCACACAGCCACCCGAGACGGCACGTTCTTTGAAGCAGGCTGTCACCCTGAAAGTGAATCTTTGGGGCCACATTCCTATGCCAGAAGCAACTCCCACGTGCCTGGAAAAAACCGAAAACTCTAACTGGCAATATAGCTTTGGCCTTCCTCCAAATGGTACAAAAAATCTGAGCTATTACGACATTGCCTCCTTTGGAAAAACAGGACAATCCAAGTCACTCACAGGAGACAATATATTTCCAGAGGATGGAAAACCATAAAAAATAAGGAGGCAGGTTGGGAGGGGTTGTCTGGGACGATCGCAGTCTCTGCTGAAGGTTCCTTGCCTCGTTCACGTCTTCACTCCCACACATACTTGACGGCGGAGGCCGGCTCAAAGTCAAAGGCACAACTTGCAGTTGGGAACCAGGACATGAGCTGGCCCACATGCACACCCAGCCGCGGCCCTGGTCACCTGGGTGCCGGGCTCAGGTAACTGAGCCAACCAGGTACAGAAGGAACCCTGCCAAGGAGGCGTCAGGGCTGGGAGAATGGAATTTGGGTCCAGTGAGTGATTTCATGGCATCCCCTTTGTCGGCCAGAAGCTATTTAGATCAGGAACACTGGCTTCACAGCCAGAGGCCTGATAATCTTTCTCCCTTTTCATTGAAACAGAAAGTATCTAAGATACTGGAGAATACAGTAAAATCCTTAACTCCATTTTTTTTCTTTTCTTTTTTTTTTTTTTCTTTCCTAGTGGCAAGGCTGGATAAGCTTATCGAGTGCAGGCAAACTACATCTTAGCTCTGATCCCTTCGAGAAATCCATTTGGCGCCTTTAACATTTCATTTGGCGGATTGAATTTCGGACATGTATTTATGGGGCTGGGTTTGCCCTTAATGGAGTAGTGCATAAATCCCATTACAATATCCACTTTAGCGTGTTTGGGGTTTTCTAAGCCAGGGCTTTATTTAAGTGGACAGCCCAGAATAACCCGCTCTGGCTCAGAAACTTCTTTCCCTCTGGAACCAGGCTTTCCAGATTCTCTCCATCATCATCAGTGTCAAGTGATGTTTTAGGAAAAGTCCTTCTGGCACAGCTTAGAATCAGGCACGTCCCAGCCTCAGAGAAAGCAGTGACAGTGTGTCATCACCCTCCCTCCAATGAGTTACCAGGTTCCCTCCCAGGAACCACCTCATCCCACACCCCTCTTTCTTTCTGGAGATGGCCAGCGGAAGTTTGCTAATAATACGTACAACACTTTATTGCAGTTCTTAACTTTCCAACAAGGAAGGCGTATTACTTGTAATTTACGAAAACAAAAAAATTATAAGAAAAGTGAATTATAGGACAAACTGAGGAAAGAAAAGATTTGGGTTAGGAACCCTAAGTTAGCCAGTTCCTCTCTTTAACCCTCAGGTTAACCACTGAACAAAATGGAATTAGTGACCCCTTGCATTCCGGGCACACAGCTTAGTTACTCATTCCTAGCTCGGCTTTTCTTGGCGGGCTAGACGGGCCATTGACCTCAGGGGCGGAGGGGCGCGGATGCCACTAAGATGCCTTCTGAGTAAGTAGCTCAGGGTGCAGCATGGCGTCCACCACACGGGCGAGGCAGGGGCTATACCAGGCTGAAGTGTCAGCAGGTGACGGATGGTCTCCATCCTTCCTCCTGGGACCCGTCCTGAAGCACACGCACAGCTCTCCAGTCACCGGCTTTTCACGTAAATTGGCTCAAGAGCAGAAGTGCAAGGAAGGTGGTCAGCAGTGGGTCAAGCTCAAAAGCCCAGCTGAAGCTAACAGAGTGCCACCTGGCCTTCTGGGACCCTCTCTTTCTAAGGTGGGGAGTCCCCTGGAACCTGACAATCCACTCTCTGGTCACTTTGGTCTGCCACTCCAGCAAGTTTTTTTAAAAGGCGACAGCAGGTGCAGTAAATGAAGAAGTGTACATGACCAGGGGCTTTTGCGGCTATTTCAGGCTCTGTCTGTCTAAAGGCGGCTGCGGGTTTGGTTACATCTAAGTTTGACCTTAGAGCTTGCGGAGATAAACTCTTCTGGATGAGAAAAAAAATCTCGGGATTTTTTTTCATGGACTTCATGGATTGATTCAGCCAGTATTTATAAAGTTCCTGCTCTGGGCCAGGCTCCGCGCTAGGTGGAGCATCCAACGGCGAGCAGTGCAGAGCAGGCCCTGCCTGCAGGAGATGACATCTGGGGATATGGGACCAGGGGACCAGGGTGGGACCTGGGGAGAGCTGGGTGTCCAATGCCCAATGACACAGGCGAGACAGCATGGCCCCTCCAGACAAGACCAACAGGTGGCCAAAGGGAACCCAGAGTACCAAAAACCCAGCGCTCTCTCTCCATGGCTTAATCTTTGAAAGATTCTCTCACCTACTTATCTGTGAGCAGCTGGGGACAGAAGTTGTGCACAGTTATTGCATGATTTTTAGGTACCGCAGGAGGCACGAAACATACATGACTTCATTTACTTCCAACCAAAGGTGGGCAGGTACTGCTAACATTTCCATCTCAGAAATGAGGGAATCAAGGCTCAGAGAGGTGAAGTGACTTGCCCAAGATCGCACAGAGTGGGAGAGGTCGCGGGATTTGAACCAAGGTTGTTTGGTTCCAGAATTCCCACTTGCACCCATTATGCCAGCTTGCCTTTCACCAGCCTCTGAACATGGCAGTCCACACACAGTAGGGGCTCAGTCAATGTTTGCTAAATTGAACTCGATCATCTTATTTAAAGCTACTGCAATCACATTGGGCTTTTAAGCTGGGAACGAGGTCATTCTATAAAAATGGAAAGCAGAAATTTACCCTGAGGACTTTCCTGGAGTTAGAGGCAGGAGGCCAGAAAAGAATCTATTCAAATGACCACAGAGCTAAGACGTGGCCTCAATATATTATGATTAAATGAGATGTGCTGAAGAATTACGTAAGAGCTCAGAAACACAATTTAAGTCTCCACTGTTAAGCTCATAATATAGAAGCGTAGGGTTTTATGTAACTGCTTGGGTCCCACGGGCAAATGAAGACTTGTTTCCTTCACCTTCTAACATTCATGCTTTCCAGAGAGAAGGGTCTGGAAGGCTGTCCATAGGAAATGGCTGATAATGACCATAACAACAGTCACAGTAACTGACCCTCTGGTGTACTTCCTGGGTGCCAGACCCGTGCTAAATTATCCACCTGCATTATCTCATTTAATCCTTGCAAGATCCTTTGGTGGCTGGCCAATATCACGGGTCACATTTTACAGAGAGGAAAACTGAGTGAGGCCAGGCTCTGAATGCAGGCCATGTGACTGAGGGTTTTCAGTCCTCGGCTGACATTTGCAATATTCTGCTGCAAAGAACACTGGAGATTATGTCAAGCAAAAAAAAAAAAAAAGTTTGCCAAAATCCTGACATCTTAGACAGGAAGGCAACAAATCTGGGACCATCTGGGCCCATGTTGGGTATGAGCTGCCTGCTTCCCACTTAACGGCATTCCCCTGGTCCAAACTCCCACTCGCGGCCACAGAAACACACTTTTCCAAACCCAGCCTCCTCTCCCTCCAATCATACTTGGCTCCACTGAAACCAAGAAGGCATCTGGGGACAAGCGATCTTTATCTGTATCAAACGCTGATTGAGGCGGCTCCAGGAAACAGTCCCACGTTAAGCCAATGTGCACCATGTCACCCACATCTGCTTGGCATGCACGCGTGTCCACATTGCAACACTTGGAACTGTCTCTCTCTTGGAGCATCGCCCTGGACAAACATTGCCAAGTCCAACAAGACGGACGGCCTACGTCCCATGGAGCAGTTATCTCGGCAAAGAGAGGAGAGGGAAAGAAGAATCAGGTCACTCCTTCCAGACACCTCTCTCCATGTTAGAGAAAATTGTTCTTGGGGGGGGTGGAGGGGCGAGTGGCTTTCGGAAGTGTGCAGGAACATAAATCCGACCAGTTTTTAAAATAGAGTGAAATTCACTTTCCCAGACTCCGGCATAATTTCCTCAGGGCAGAAACATGCTTCAGAATACCTGCAGCCAAGGGGCTGAAGACTGGCTGCCTCTTGGTGCAGCCAGCCGTTCCAGACTGGACCATTCACACTCTTGTGCAAATCCCTGCCCTTGAGGGTGACCTGGATTTAGTGACTCACATCTCATGAAAAGAATGCTGCAAAGGCAACAGGATTTCACATCCAGGGTTTGGCTTAAGAAGACTGCAGCTCCCACCTTAGCTGCTCTCTCTCTCTCCTCCAGGCTCTCTTTCTTGCATCACAGGCTCCGGGGGAATGTTGCCTTTTTGTACACTGTCCTAGGGTGAGAAACTGAAGGAGGCCTCCAGCTGACCATTAGCAAGGAACTGAGGCCCTGGGTCCCGCAGCCTATGAGAAACTCAACCAGGTGGGTGAGCTCAGAAGCAAGTCTCCCCCCGGTTGGGCCTTCAGATGAGAACCCAGCTCTGGCCGTCAGCTTGAATACAGAATGAACTGATGAGATCTATCTTTTGTGATTAAAATAACACATGTTGCTTTAAGCCACTAAGTTTGGGTGTCATTTGTTATGCAGCAATAGGTAATTAATACAGTACCACATACAATCGACTTGAATACCGTTAATAATACACATTCCATGCTGTGGGAAACATGTGTCTAAAAGTAGAGACAGTCCATCTCTGTGTACCTCATTAAGACGAAGGTAGGTGAGAGAGCACTGGAAGATTCTAGAGCCAAAGCTAGGTCGCCAATCTGAAGGCAAGAGATGAATCTGTGCTTATTTTGTGAAGACAGAAATGAAGAGACACCATCGCGGGACCCATTCATAAACAGAGGACAAAAACTTTCCGGAGAACAATTTTCAACACGGAAACACAAACGAAAGCCAAACATCTACTGCCTTATCACCTCGTGGAGATGTGCTCACCCACACAAGTACGCCATAAGTTGTAAATATCAGAATGACCGTCTGAAAAGGATCCATAGCCACATTCATATCTACTTGGAGTCAGCACAACCGGATTCTCAGTCAGCTGCCTGCACTAGTTCTTTCTCATTCTTTGATCTTAATTATGGGGAAGAGTAGCAAGACTATGGGCGTTAGAGACCCGTGGACCTGGGTTCCGGTCCCACCTCTGCCCCTCACTAGCTGTGTGGTCTTGGGGAAATAGACACAGAATCTTATTTCATCTGCAGAATCTGGCTAAGGTCCACCTCACCACGTCATTGTAAGGATTCGAGGCATTTACATTGGAAGGTACTTATCATGGTCTATGGTATTTGGCTGCCCAATAAAATAAGTGCACCCTTCTGTAATCTCCTCCTTGGGTTTCTGCTATGATCTGTGATAACCCACGCTGGATATTTCCAGTGGGTGTGGGTCTCACACTTTAGGATCAAAAGAATCACCATGACATAGGCGTTTAAAGCAAAGGATGTTGACTGAGAAAAGCTAAGTTCCAACACTTACTAATGGTAAATGTGGTGCGGGCACCTAACCGACCCTCATCTGTAAAACGGGGATGAACAACACTGCGCCTACCTCTGTTCTGACGACTGAACGAGATAATGTACTTAGGGAGCTGCAATTGTGCCGGGCACGCAGTAAACATTAAATAAATGTCAGATGTTTTGCTAAAATTATTATTCATTATTAGTCCCACTATCATTATTTAATTCGTAATCAGTTAGATAGAGGCCTATGGGACAAATCCAGCCCACAGAAATGTTTTGTTTAGCTCACACCGGGTGTTATTAAAAAAAATACATAAATTTGAATTAGTCGCCAATATATATCACAGACTACAGTGAAAAATCCAAATTTCTGGATTCTTTTAAAACCCAAAAGAGCGGAAAAACCTGGGCCTGATTCTCTCCTAGCCACAGGCAGCTGGAGCCAAGGAGCTACTGTTCACTTAAGGCAGAGCATTCATTATTCCATTTGCCACAGTCCTCACCACTCTCTATAGCCCTATACCTATCCTTTAGAACATACTTACCTACCTCCCTAGCCTTAAGGGTATTTGAGGGTTTTGACTCTCATTTTAACTCCTTAAAGACTTGCCTTCATTTGAGTTTCTAAGGCCTTTTTTTTTTAATATCAAGTACTCTAAGTATCAATGGCAAAAAGAGATAATGAATACGATTAAGTTTTCCCTAAGGAAATCCACAGCAACAGTCAGTGCCAGATAATGGCCAAGGATAAAGATAGAGTCAGATAAAAAGGAGAATAAAGATCCAGCTCTCTACAATAACCTTCCACACAGGACCCAAAAATGAGCTGCCAGAACTTAAATACCAAATTTGTGCCCTCCTCTTGCCCCTGTGATGGTTAATGTTATATATCCACTTGACTGGGCTAGAGCATGCCCAGACCTTTGCTCGAATATTATTCTGGGTGTGTCTGTGAGGATGTTTCTCTATGACATTCACATTTCAATCCAGTAGACTGAGTAAAGCAAAGTGCCCTCCCTACTGTGGTGGGCCTCATCCAATCAGTTGAAGGTCTCAATAGAACAAAAAGCCTGACCCTCCAGAGGGAACTCCTCTCATCTGACAGCCTTCAAACTGGGACGCTGGCTTCTCCCTGCCTTCAGACTCCAACTGAAACACTGGCTCTTCCTGGTTCTGGAAACTGCCCGCCTTTGATCTAGAACTTAGACCATCAGTTCTCCTGGTCTCTAGCTTGCCGACTACAGATCTTGGGCCTTCACAGCCTCCGTAATAGCATGGACCATTCCTTATCATAAGGAATATAATATACATCCCATCGGTTCTGTTTCTCTGGGGAAACCTGACTGATATGCACCCCTCCCCAAAAAAGCTGTTATCGAATGGATGGTACAGAGCTTACAACTGATGGCGGATCACAATCCAAGAGCCACAGAAAGCCCCCATCTCTTCCGGTGAACTGAGGAGCAGGCTTAACTACCTGGAGGTTCACCAGCAGCTACAGGCCGACTGGAGGGGCTTTTCTAGATCCTGAAGGTCCCACGGCTCTGGATGTCCAGTGAGCTCCATGGACTCTCCCGCCTTGAAGGAAGAGGCAGAGGCCACCCCAGGGAATGCTGGGAAGCACTGCAGAGCATCCTCCCATGAGCCTTTGCAGCTCTCCTCCCGCTTCCCTCACCCCCCCAAGCCCAGCCGCCTGCACCCTTAGTCTCTCCAAGGAGAGAAGAAAGCAATGAAACCACCTGATTCCCACCAAAATGAGCGACTCCAGGGGTTAACCCTCGTCCAGAAGTAAACCGAAGGCGGCCTTGGGGAGAATGTGCATTTTCTTCTTTACGCATGCGCCTTTGTTTTCTCATTTTTTCTCAACGAACATGCGTTAACTTAATCAGCAAACTAATGAGAGTTATCGATTCAATCCGTGGCAGGCAGTGTGGCTCAGTATGTAGAGGCTGGGGGCACCGGAGACATACTTGCCTGGGTACAAAGCCTGGCTCTGCTCCGTGACCTTGAGCAAAGGTCTCCAACGCTGTCATAAAATGGGTGTGAAAACAATAGTTACCTCACGGGGCTGCAAGGATTAAAATTCAAGCAAAGGGCTCAACACGCGCTTGGCAAATAGCAAATGCTCATTAAGTGCTTACTGCCACTATTACTGTTGTTTCATCGTTATATATTTATTGTAGTTCTATCTAGTATTATATTTATATAATATAAATACATATTTTATGGTATTTATTGAGTGCCTGCTATGTGCCAGGCATTAGAAATACAGTAATAAGCAAAATTAAGCCTCTGACTCTATGGGTCTTGTTACCCTGCCTAGTGGAGGGTTAGGCATTATATAAACACACACACACACACACACACACGCACACACACACACTCGCTTCAAGTCATTATCCAAGGTGATGGGGGTAATTTCCACAAAAGGAATGAAGCAGGTAGAAATAAGAGGCCCTACTGGCTGGGAAGGGATGTGAGGACTAACTGACCCTCAGCATGGCACTCAGCGCCTAGAAGATGCTCAGAAAATACCAGCTGAGTTAGTTGACAGGGCTGACACAGACCAGTGAGAGAAAGATGTTCAAGAGCTGGGGCTGCAGACCCATCACTCAACTAAAGGCGCCCCCTCTCCTGGATGAGAGCACCACCGTGCTTCCTCACCATCATCCCTCATCTGGTTGACCTCAAAAGCCCCCCGCGGGTCTCCTTGCCTTCACTCTTGCCTTCTTTCAGTGCCCCCTGCAATGCCCACTACCCAGACGGATCTTTAAAATAATACTTTCTATTCTGAAATAATTTTAGACTTGCAGAAAAGTTTCAAAGATAGGCCAGACGGTTGCTGCGTACCCTTCACCCAGCTCCCCCTAATGTCCACATCTTGCCTGAACCACAGTTCACTGGTCAAAACCAAGCAACCAACATGGGTGCAACACTCTTCACTAAGATGCTAAATTGCAGGCTTCCTTCGGATTTCACCAGTTTTTCCACTAATAACCTTTTCTGTTCCAGGATCCAATCCAGAAAGCCACATTGCATTCTGTCATCATGTCTAGACCAGAAGGATTTTTTTTTTTAAAGCTCAAAGCCGATCATTTCCCCAGTTTAAACTCCCTAATGATTTCCCACATCTTTTGAATAAAGTCTGAACTCTTTGCCCTAGTCTCCAAGATCCACATTACTGAGCCCCGCGGACCCCTCCCTCCTGCCCTCCCCAGGCTCCCCTCACTCACTGGGCCCAGGCACACAGATCAATTGTCGCTCCTGCGAATCCCAAACTCAGTCCAACCTCCGCACTTGCTATGCCTTCTGCCTGGAAAGCTAGTTCTTCAGCTGCTCTCGTGGCTGGTTCCTCCTCCTGTTTAGGTGGGAGTGTGACTGTCCCCTCCTCAGAGAGGCCTTCCCTAGTCATCCCAGCAGAACCAGGCTCGCCCCACGGCAATCACCCTCTGTCACAGACTTCTTGGTCATTTTCACGAGCGTGCTTGTGGCTGCCTGGACCGATCCTATTTATATATTTATGACTGATGGTCCATCTTCCTCTGCTAGAGGAGGTAGGGACCTTGTCCATCTCGTTCACCATATCATTTTAAGCACCTAGGACAGTACCTGGCACACAGTAGGTGTTCTGTAAATATTTGTTGAAATGTGGGTTGAAGCAATGAACGGACGCAGGGAGGGCTTCTGTTTTCCAGGACTCACCGATGTGTCCCAAGGACCTAGAAGAGCGCCTGGACACATAGGAGGTGTCCAGCATCCATCTCTTGAATTAAATATTGGGCACAGATTTACCCCAAGAACCTAGCATAGTGCCTGGCACACAGTGGGTGCTCAAAAACAATATTCGTGGGATGAACATTATTCGACGGAATAGCATCCCTGTTCAGAGAAAGAGGTGACCACATCGGGCTACTTTTCTAAGCAAGAATCTCTCTCAAGAGGTTGCCAGGGAACAAAGCTGGGAACCTGCAGGACAGCTGCTCGGACATCTGTTTGGGAAGCGCAGCAGGTCCACGCTGGGCTGTGGGAGGTGGCGGCTGCTGCCAGGCCCACACGGCGCTCCGTGTCGAGCGACTCCCCCGCTTGCTCAGGAAACCGCAGCCACTGTCACCCAGCATGGAGGCTCCTCCGAGGCCCGTGACGCAAAGTCGCTGCAGAAAAGGCAGCTGATTAACACCCTCAGAGGGTCTATTGTCTGCATCCTGTCACCAGAGGAGAAACAGCTGTTTACAGTTTGTTTATGCGTCTCCCTCCGGAGCCTTTGCGAGGAAACACAAATGCTCGTTCTCCAGGGTACAATTCAGCCGCTGAAGGGAGCGGAGAAAACGGTGTTTATTTTTAACAGGATAAAGACGGGGCACTCTTAGGAAGTTTGGACACTAGCAGGAAGACAGCTCTCGGGGAGGTGCCAGGCCTCCTGGCGATGTCCTGCACAGTGGCAGCCTCTTGAGGGATGGTCGAGTCTATTTCCCCTTCCGACCAAAAATTTAGGCTCAGGCCGTGGGGGCGAGCCAAACAGTGGGCTCAGGTGAGCGCCCGTGGAGATGAGAGACCTGGAACAGCTCTTCATGCTTGAAAGTGAGAGAGCAAGGGACGTAGGAAAGCGACCACCTGCTATTAAATACGAGCGACATCCTATACAAGGCGGCCATGTACAGCTGTGTAGGCTGGGCACTGCACATAGTGCCCAGTGAGGGAGAAATCATCTAGCCTCACTCCACAGTCCAAGCCCACACTGTTCAGAGGAAGGAACACCTTTTCTCTGTACAAACATTGTTTTCTAGCCACCCATGCCCCTCCCTAGAACAGGCACTTTTCTCTAAATCACAGAAAGGCACCATGTAGCAGCCTAGAGGCAGACAGTGTCCACCAGACCAGCTGAAAACCTCCAAGAAGAATCGAGCTCTCCCTTCCTGCCCCACGCAGGGCTGCTCAAACGCATCCCAGACAGTAGCTTTCACCTCTGGTCCCTGAAGGCCCAAGAAAAACATCGCCCTGCGCCAGGCAGAGGCCACAGGGGCTGGTAAGGTTCCCAGTGGGAGCACATCCATGGCCACCATACTTCCTGGATGGGAGCAGCGACCAGTCCTGGAGCATCTGTGTTGTGATGCTGATGATGACAGTCACAGACCTCCCCCCAGGGCGGTCTTCGTCCCATCAGTCTCCCTGCTGCGTCCAGCAAGGACCCACAGGTGAAGGCAGAAATGGGAAAGGATGGGCCTTGGGACACAGCATCACCTAGACTGCATCACCAGCCTCCGCCTCATTCCCTGGTGGCAGAGAGTGCCAGGCCCTCACGCCGGAAAGCTGGGGTTCTAAGATGCCCCACCTGGCTATAGCATAGCCGAGCGCCTGCATGCACCCGGCTCTCAACACGCGTCATCCTTAAGACCTGCACATCCAGGTCACCCTCTGGCATGGGCGCCATTTTTTTCTTTCTTAGAGCACTTAACACCTTCTAACACTCTGGTCTAGATCAAGGGTTGGCAAACTATGACCCATAGGCTAAATCCTGCCCACCACCTACTTTTGTAAATAAAGTTTTATTGGAACACGGCCCTGCCCATTCATTCACACGCTGTCCATGGCTGTTTTCAAGCTTCAGGGGCAGAAGTGAGTAGCTGACACAGGGACTATCAGGCCCGCAAAGCCTAAAATATTTACTATCTGACGCTTTACAGATAACATTTGCTGGTCTCTGCTCTAGAGTGTTTGCTTACGTATTTATTTAAATGTTTATTATTTGTTATCTGCCTTTCCCCTCTAGCATGTTGACTCCACAAGGCAGGGGCCACTGTTTTGTTCATGGATACATTTCAAACTCTTAGAACAGAGCCTGCCAGGTACTAGGCACTCAGTAAATATTTACGGGATGGGTGAATGAATGACCACCAACGTTCACACTACCCCATGGAGGAGGTGACATTGTCATCCCAAGTGAGCCTCCAAAGGGTCCGGCAGCACTGAGCCGGACTGCACAGCTGGTCTGTGATGGCCCCAAGATTTGAAGCCAGGTCTTTCCACTAAACAGGGCAGACCTCTCTTTAAAGCGGCTGTGTGGCCTCTGAAACGTCACTGAATCTCTTCTGTGTGTAGCATCTCGTCTGTCCGTGCTTTCTCATCCCACCTTCCTCATGGCACTGTTCAGAGGACCGAATGAGGTAACAGCTGGGGCTTTATTTTATGTGCGCGTGTCTTTATTTATTTTTATGTTTAAATATTCACTTATTTAATCATCACAATGACCTTTTGAAGGAGGGACCACTGTCATCCCCATTTGACAGATGGTAAACTGAGGCAGAGAGAGGTAACATGACTGATCCCAGCTCCCACAAATAGTAAGGGGTGGATCCAGGATGCAAGCTCAGGCCGTTGGTTCCCAATGACCAGGCCATGCTGCCTCTTCTAGAACGGAAGTGGACTGAACAAGCCCCAAGGGGTCAGATTCAGAAAACCAGCGCTCCTCCCAATCCTGGGGGTCAGATCCGCGTTCAGAAAACTCCGTGTCTCCTCTGGCTTTTGTGGCTCATCAGGCAGGAGGCAGGTGGGAGAAGGGCCCCGAAGTCTGCCATCCAATGTAATCCTTCTACAGACCCAGGGATGTCTGAATTTCAGACGGTCTGGGGACCCACACTCAGAAGGGGCTCAACCAACCCTCGGTGGGGAACAGCCCAACCCACCCGGAGCCGAGGCCACCCTCCTCTTCTCCCACCCCGCAGCGGCCCCTCCATGAGGCGTGGGCAGCCAGCGCCACCTCCAAGTCCTGGGGCCATGGCCAAGCTCACTGGGCAGAGAGGGAGACTCCAAGCGTCCCCTGGGCTGGAGGGAGAAGGCAGCCCCCATTGGAGCCTATTCCTTCCCTCGGAGAGCCTGCAGATTGGAATCTCCTAAAATGGTTTTCACAACTCAGCAGCAATCAATTATTCCGACCTCACTTCCTACGAACTCAGAGACTGTCACTGTCACCAAGGTCATTTCTGGACTCTGCCCAACAGCTCTAGTCTGAGCTGCCAGGCAGCCCACTGCTTATTTCTTCCCTTTCTCAAAGACCCCCAAAGCCCGCCAGCCATCAGCCGCCTCGACACTGGGCAGAGACACGGGCAAGGAAGGAACCCTGGGTGCCCAGAGCCGGGGAGGGGCCTGACAGCCAGGCTGCTCCCAGCCTACATGACTCACTTCAGACTTTGGGGCAGAACGTCTGACTTCAGTTTAATCCAACTGGAAAACAGGGCTCAAGAATTCCAGACCCTCTGCCAGGCTCTGGGATGAATCCCACATTATTTTATAAACTGCTTTAGGCTCTGAAAACATTGTGTTCTGCACAAGGCGTGACCTGCAAGGGTCTCCCCGACATGCTGTCAGCCTGCCAAGTTCATGGTCAAGAACGGCTGGTACTTGGCAGGGCCTGATGAGCCATCAAGACCACCAGTAGCATTTTTCCTCCCAAAAGCTTGAGGCTATCTTTAGGAACATGTTCCCACCTCCCAGGGAGGAGAGAGATGCTCCCCGACACCCTTGGAAAAGATGTTCAGGTTCCGGCATGGGGTCCATAGGTGGACCAGCTCTGTCGCTTCAACAAGCATGACCTTGTATGCAAGCCACTGTTTCTCTCTCTAAGCCTCAGTTTCCACATCTGTAAAATGGGAGCAGAACAGTATCTACCTCCAGCGCTGTGGTAAGGATTAAATAAAATGATGCAGTGAAAACACTCAGGACCTAGCTTGGCACATCGTAGACACCGTGGCCTCTTAATTCAAAAATCCCGTTGCTTGTAAGATGCATCACTGACTTCGTAAGAGTTTGGGGGTGATATGGGTGTGTTCGGAAACATTAAGGAAATGCACACATCGAGTGTAATATTCATCCCAGATATCAGAAATCCTGTTTACTAAATATAAAAAATACACCTCTTAAAATGAAGTCAATTATTACTATTTTGATCATTATTACAATCGCTATACTGATTTTAGGTGAGAAAGCAGGCACAGAGAGGTTATGTGACTAAGGCCACACAGCCACTCAGACCTGAGCTGGGAATCAGATCCAGTCCCCACCCCACTCGAGAGGGAGGAAAGAGAGGAAAAGGCAGGGTCAGCCAGCCAGCTCCTCCCCCCTCCAACTCCTCCTCCTCCTCCCAGGATCAAAAGCAGTAATACTAATAAGCACCTTACGTGCCAAGGCACTGTGCTAAACAAACTACATATATTAACTCATTTATTTCTCCCAACAACCCTCTGAAGTAGATACCGTTATCCTCCCCATTTTACAGATGAAGAAACCGAGGCACAGAGAGTTTGCCCAACTTGCCTAAACTCACACAGCTGATAAATGACAGAGCCAGGGTTTGAACCCAGGCAGTCCAGCACCAGAGTCCCTGTGCTTCCCTCTTCCATTGTACTGCATCCTGGAACTGAGACAAACAGGGACCTATGCGGGGGAGGAGAGGGGCGTGGTATAAGAATGTCAGGCCACGCCCTGCTCACACCACACCCGGGGACAGCTCCCCCAGACCTGGAGGGCACATCCCCTTCTCCCCAGGATGAGGCCAGGTTCATGCCTCTCCTCTGCTCTCTCCTGCAGCATCCACGTCGGGCCAGCCGAGCATGCCAAAGCGCATGGGCCAAGTCTGCAGCCCCAGCCTGGGTAGAGACTCTGACCACAGCGGCCGGCCTCCCCCTCACCCAGTCTGCGGGCAGGAAGAACGAGAGGAAGAAGAGGGCAGAAGCAGATGGGACACCTGCCAGGCCTGCAGCGCAGAGGCCTCCCCCACGGGCAGGAGGGAAGGGGCATGGCCAGCAGCTGGGAGAGCGGACCATGCCCTGGTCCACCTCGGTCCAGTCAATTCTCAACCAAATCAAGAGTACTTAGCATTAGGTAACATGGTCGTTAAGAGCATAGGCTCCAGGCCAGCCTGCCTGGGTGAGAACACAGATCTGTCTCTTACCAGCTGTGCAACCTCAAGGGACTTACTTCCCTTCTCTGTGCCTCACCTCCTCTATCCACAAAACGGTGACTTCAACAGCTCACATCACAGGGTGCTGGAAGCATGGAATGTAAAATGCTTGGCACGTGGTAAGCGCTTAATGAATGGGACCCGCTATTATTCATTATTATTAATCATGATTATCATTTACTGAGCAACAACTATGTGCCCTTGACTGTAGCACTGGGGGTTCCCTGATGGAGTGAGGGGGCCAGAGACCAGCTGGGATGGGCATGAGCGAGGCCAAATAAGGTCTCCAAAAACTGTGGTTTACCATCAGGCAGAAGGGGATGAATTTGGGGGGAACAAGGCCCTTTTCTGCACACGGCCACACCCCACAGCCACCTGTACAAACGGAGTCGGTGGGTAAGCATCCTCGTAACTCCCTCCGCTGGGTGCAGGTCACTGCTGGACGGAGGGAAGATGTGTGTGACCGGGGCCCAGGAACCCAGAAGGACCTAAAACTGCAGAGCAGAAGGGACTCAGAAATCCCTTCGTCCATTTTCAAGATGAGGAGACAGAAACCTGAGAGGCTGCCCAGAGCCACATGCACAACAAGGACCGGTCCCCAGGTGTCCCAAGTCCCAGAAGTTCAGATCTCTTCATCCTGCTTTGTAACGTCTGTAAGCAATCCCAGCCCTGCGCAGCCCCCACCGCAGACAGACGCTGCCGCCGGGCCAGTCCGCTCACTCTGCACTTCTCTGGGTTGACCCTCCCAGGCTGGGGTCGGTGCAGGACATCACATCACACTAACACCTTGAGGATGGGACCCAGGACAGGTGAGTTTTGATACAGAGAAAAAGAGCGAGAAAAGTCGAGAGCTGGGGACATGGTTCTGGAGGGGCAGTCGGGGATCTGCAAAGCCCGTACGAAGGCAGGAGTGCTTTGGGTTGGAGACTGGGTGGCGGTGATGGCAGAGAAGCTCTGAAAAGACCACCAGAGACAGAAAGGCTTCGTACGACCCATGGGAAACTTCTTCATCTGCTCCAAGTTCCACCTCCGAATCATGTGATGTCTAAACCAGGCCGCATGTTTAGGTTTTAGGAGAACGGGGATGATGACCCCGCTACAGGGGTTCCCTGTGGGCCCTGGCTCATCTCTCGCCAACTGACATTTACGCCCTTGTTCACGAGGTCACACTCTGTCGCCCTCTTCCTCCAATCCAGGCCTGACCACCTTCTATTTGTTTCATCTTAAATGTCACTTTGCTGGAAAAGCCTGCTCTGAGGACCCCTCCCCCTCCATGACTCACTGTCCCCCTCCATCAGCGAGCCACAGGCGGGCACGGACCCTGGTCCCTGTTTTGTTCACTGCTCCAACCCCAGCTCCTAGGACCGTGCCCGGCACACAGCAGGCCTTCGGTCATGTTTGTTGAATGAACAACTACGTATATGCCAAGGTCCTGGGTAAACGCACATGGCCACACACTCACGGGAAACTTCTAGCACATGACACCCAGTAGAATACCCATGGACGTTACTAGGAATACAGCAAAGTAAATCCCCAACCAACGACATCTGCTTCCCATTTCTGCTGAAGAGCAGCCCTGTGCCTAACCGGACAGACGCCTCTTCTCCATCTGCCCAGGGACCCGTGCTCCAGCTCCCATCGCCCCCTCAAAACAGGTGCCTCCAGGACAAGGAGAACGCTGGCTTTACAAGACCCAGGAAGCCAGCAATCCTGGGGGCAAAGCTCAAGGGGAACCCGCAGGAGAAGAGTCAAGACATTCTACAAAACAACAAAATGCCCTCCCAGCCTGGATACTCTTAAAGGCAAGAGGAAGTTGGTCAGCTGGTCAGCGGGGGAAAAAAAGAATGTAAGGCTTGCCGTGCCTTGATGTGGGCAGGCTAAGTGATAACTTCTCCTAACCCGCCCCACCCAAAGAACACGAAACGACCGTGACTCCTCCTCTCCCCACTGCTTCCTTTACTCAACAGCCAGAACAGAAGCATCCAGCAACCGCTGGCAGTCAGGCACATGCAGCCTGTTCACAGAGTCTACCCTTAGGAGGAACTAAAGGAACGTTTTGTGCTGTTGAGTCGTTAGAGGATCTCAGAGAACAACGCAACCCTGTTTGTGTCCTGTTTCACCAATTTCTGTTTTTATTTTTATTTATGCCCCTTTCCTACTTTCTTTTGGTTTATTCTCAATGATTCTTTTTTTAATTTTTTCTTTTGAGGAAGATTAGCCCTGAGCTAACTACTGCCAGTCCTCTTTTTTTTTTTCTCGCTGAGGAAGACTGGCCCTGAGCTAACATCTAGGCCCATCTTCCTCTACTTTATATGCGGGACGCCTACCACAGCATGGCATGCCAAGTGATGCCATGTCCGCACCCGGGATTCGAACTGGAGAACCCCAGGCCGCCGAGAAGCAGAACATGCGCACTTAACCGCTGTGCCACAGCGCCGGCTGCCTGATTTTTTTTTTAAGAAATAAGTTAGACTCTCTTTAATCATGCTAATCTTGCACATTTAATGCCAAAAGCTAGAGTGCTTTTAAAATTGGCTATTAATTTTCCTCTAGGCATGGTTTTAGCCTCATCCCATAGGTTTTGATATGAGGTATTCTCATTTTCATTAATCACCCTATAACCTTAAAGTCCAAGTTTAATTTCTTCTTTAATTTAAAAGTTATTTAGGAGTGGTTGGTTTCTTTAAATTTCTAAGTGAATGCCTTTTAAGGGCTAATTTTTAATGTATCTTATTGTTTTATGAATGAAGCCTGGAAGATTTCTACTTTTGAAATCTACCAGGTTTCTTTTGAAACAAATTAATTACCAATTTTAGTTAAGGTATCTTAGAAGATATAGAAAATAGTCTTTAAAAAGAAAAGCCCATATCCTAGAATAAACATAGACACACACACAGACACACACACACACCCCTATCCCTTTGTAAAGAATTCCAAAGAATACTTACCAAAAAAGTTTTATCTTTTTAAAAGTAAACATCCAAACAAAGAAAGTAAACAAACCTTTAAGGGGGATGTAGGGGGGAAACTACCAGAATTTAGGGATTAGGCTTTTCCATCTAGGAATTCCACACCCGGAAAGCATACCCACCATGCCATTCCAGCTCTGCAGCCCCATTTTAAGGACTAAAACTGAGGCTGCCAGAGACCGAGTCAGATACAACATTACCTTTTAGCTGAGACCGAGTTTCAACCCCACTAACCCCTTCACCCCTGAATCCAACTTTCTTCCAAAAGAAATATGAAAACAGCGGCTAAACATCTTCTCTTGTGACATTCCTTAAGATTGCCCACTGCACAAGGCAAGGCTCAAAGGCAGGCTCCTAAAACCAGCAGGACTTTACTCCTGGGAAAGTGGGCTGGAAGAAAGGAAGCTGATGCAACTCTTTGATGAGCCCTAGAAAGAATATTAAGTCATTTTTCAGCCAGTGCCAAGCAAACCTGAAAGACGGGTGGATCCTAGGGAATCCTGACACTCTTCGCCCAGCCTGTCAGGGCCTCTGCCTGCAAAAGCGGGACGGCAGACGCGAAAGGACCAGAGTGCAGGAGCTGACGCAGGACCGACGCTGCTGAACAACACTGACAACGCACACGCAGGCAGCTCCTCGGGGGGAATCTCTGAGCTCCCATGCTGTGGCCACGTACAACGCACGCAGTCCCTGAAGGGACATTTCAGCGCAGTGTTTCAATGTAAGATGACACATGCCACTGTAGGCTAGAGATCTAATTGGGGACATGGAGCTGTGTTCATCTGCTTCTCAGCAAGAAAACCAGAGCGGCTAGAGAAAAACAGAAGTCAATCAAAGTGGAAAGCAACATCACAGAACCTCGGCTAATTCTGCCAGACCTGTTTTGCCACATAAAGATAAGAGTCCTTTGAACATTACGGCTTCGGTAGAAGAAATTAAACGATGGCACCAGTACCAAACATCAGGCACGTTCTCAACATCCTTGAAGGTACTAAGATGGAAAAACAGCGAGCCATTAATTAACTATGGTTCTACCAACCCGCTATTTTGCAAGACTAACTACTTTTTGGAAAGGAAGCCTTGTTCCAGAGATTCAGGACAGGAAGGAATCGCCAAGCTTTACTGCTTGGTGCGAAAAGTAAGACTTCCAAAGTAAAATGCACTTGTCAAATCAACCCATTAAAAAAACTACAACAGCGGTTACATGATTCCTCTCCCAGGTCTTTACCCAACAGAAATGGTCACCAAACATCTGTTTACCAAAAGACCCAGACAGGAATGCTCAGAGCAGCCCTTGTAATGGCCCCAAACTGGGAACATCCCAGAGCCCCATAAAGAGAATGGATGTGTAAACCGTGGTATATCCCACAATGAAATACTATACAGCAATGCGAATGAACAATTACAAACACATCAAAAAATACAGATACAGGGCCAGCAAGTTTTTTTTGTAAACGGCCAGATAGCAAATATCTTGGGCTTTGTGGGGCCACCTGGTCCTTGGGGAGACCACTCAGCTCTATCATTAGAGTGCAAAGGCTGCCATAGCCGGTATGTGAACAAAGGGGGCGTGGCTGTGTTCCAATCAAGCTTTATTTGCTGCGCACACTGAAATTTAAATTTCACAAAATATTATTCTTCTTTTGATTTTTTTCCCCCAACCGTTTAAAAAGGTGAAATCCATTCTAAGCTCACAAGCCATATGGAAACAGACAACAGGGGCCGGATCTGGCCCTCGGGCTGCAGTTTGCAAACCCCTGATAGGATCTCGCGTAATCAATCTCATCTCACACGGTGCCAAGCAAAACAAACCAGGCACAAAGGAACACAGATGGAGGATTCCGTGTCTAAAAAGAGGCAAAAGTAACCTAAGGGGTCAGAGGTAGTGACAAAGGTTACCCTTGGAGACGTGGGGACTGGAAGCAGGAGTTAAGAAGGATCCTGGGGGGCGGGGGTGAGTCGTAATGCTCTGGGCTCAGGATTGGGGTGCTGGTTACTCGAGGGTGGCCACTTGGTTGAGCTGTGCGTTCACGATTTGTGCACTTTTTCTGTACGTATGTTCTTATTTCAAGCGAAATTTAACAAGTTGTTAAAATCAAGACAAGACTGGTCAATAAGCTCCAACAACAGAAGTGTAAACGGTATCACAGCCAGCCAGTGAAATTAGCTCCGAATCCTTCACTGTGGTCAGGTGCCAGCCGATGCTAGAGTATTTAAGAGTATTTAATAATAAAAGGCAGACGTAAATGCTTTTCCTTGAGCGGTGATCTCATTTGCTTCTAGGGTGAGATGCATTTCACAGTGTAAGGGATGGTGCTCCCATTAGATTCCGGTCAGGTGGTTTTCCTCGCTATTTGCGGGAAATGATGGTGTTTGCCCCATTACCAGCTCCTCTTCGCATAGAAACCTGCTATCGATAAATACTGTGAACACAAACAGCATCTGGCAAAACACGTGGCCTTGAACCTGCAGCAAGACCTGTGCGGGACCCACACAAAGGAGAAAGGTCAGACCCGGGTTCCATTTGATTCCGAGAGAAAATGCAGTTAATTAGTTTTTCTCATAGTCAGCAGCTGAGTCGCACTGAAATCCGTGCTTGCAATTATAGCGGTAATTATTATTTTAATACAAATCAGCAACTTACCAAAATATGGCCCTGTGGATGCTACCTCACCGCTGCCGAGATTGCATAGACGGAGGGCGAAGGCCGCCACCCCTGCCCTGCTCTGTGTGCGTGGAGCAGGGGGAACCTTGGTGAGGGTCCTTCCACCTCGGCCAGACCACCAGTTTCACCGGCGCCCAAGCCTATGATCACTTTCGTGCCCGCCCTCTCTTTAGAGATGGAGAGACACATTCTGTGCTTTACAGCATGGTTTGACCTTGGGTGAGCCACTCACTGCTGGGTCTCGGTGGTTCCATCCATGCAATGGGCAAACAGTACCAACTCTCCTGAAGAATTCCTCACCAGAATCGCCTTCCTCAAACATTCTGTGCAGCACACGTGGGAGGTGACACACGGGCTCCCGGTCACTCTGCCTGAGTCCAGATTCCAAGTCCACTGTTCTGTGCATTTGGGTAATTCCTTACTCTATGCCTCAGTTTCCTCATCTGTGAATGGGAATAACAGCAAAAGGTTGTCCTAATGATTAAATGAGATAACCCACGAGATGCCTGGCCCAGAGTGGAAATGTAATAGACAAGAGCACTTATTATTACTATTATTATCATCATTAATTGGAGAGTTGTAAACTCAAATCCCAACAGCGGTCTTGCAGATGACACAAATGAGCAAAGCAGACTGTTAGGCCCCCTGGCAAACGGAAAGGGGGGGGGGTCTCACATAGAGGGGCACCCACATCTTCTCCCCTCCCTCAAACTGTTACTTCTTTGGGAATAAAGGCCAGAATTTCCATTTTTTTAATAGGAACTCCAAATTAGATTTTTATTTGAAATCACTGATTTTTAAATGTTGGCCAGTAATTAAATTTTTTTTTAATAAAAAGAAAAAAAAGATGAACAGGAAAAAAGAAAATGCTACGCTGCCATGATTCCATCGGCAGCCCAGATCGGACCCACAGAGAAGCAGGTGTCCTTTGTCAGTACTTTCTAGGGTCCGTTTGTGTGGGGGGTTTATACCACCTGCTGACTCCAGTAAAGAGTTTGCTTTCTCCAGATGATTTTTTTTACCCTAACTTGAAATCAACAATTCAAAGAAACCCATGCACCCCTATGTTCACTGCAGCATTATTCACAATAGCCAAGACACGGAAGCAACCCAACTGCCCATCAACAGGTGAACGGATAAAGAAGATGTGGTATATGTACACAATGGAATACTACTCAGCCATAAAAAAGACAAAATCATCCATTTGCAACAACGTGGATGGACCTTGAGGGTATTATGCCAAGTGAAATAAACCAGACAGAGAAAGACACATACTGCACGATTTCACTCACATATGGAAAATGAACAGACACATGGACAAAGGGAACAGATTAGTGGTTACCAGAGGGGAAGGGGGTGGCAGGGTGGGCAAAAGGGATAAAGGCACACATATGTATGGTGACTGTTACAAACCAGACTATTGGTGGTGAGCACGACGCAGTCTATACAGAAGCTAATAAATAATACTGTACAGCAGAAATAACACAGTGTTATGAACCATTATGACCTCGATAAAATAAGTGAAAAAATATATATCATTATTGTTTAA